GGTCCGGGTATTTCCTCCAACTCCGCACATGTTCTTAAAGACGAAGGAGACGGAAGATGCTTCGCCTTCAAATGTTTCCTCAAATTGCAGGTTGCACCACCTTTATAGGATAAGACATTTTTGCAAATGTCACACTTTGCTTTATTTGAATCAATTGTATTGAAATACAACCAAACACCACTTCTTCTTTTATCACTCATATTTTATTATATTTTGAAAAAGAGAATATATTATGTAATACACTAAGCACTTCTAAACTTATGTAAATATGTAAGCTATACTATTTGATATGACATAACCCAGCAGTTCTTCTCAACGCAACGTCGAGGCCGACACGTGGGATTCCCAGAACTCGTTAAGATAAGGATGTTGATGTCTACCGTCACGTTTATGTAAATGTCGATATCGATATTCGATATAGATTCGATCTTAGGTATTGGGAACCGAAAGGATAAAAAACTAAGGCAGTCTTACGAGATTGGTAATTTGAATACGATTTTTGGGTTGTTGAATAATAAATCATTATTTTACTATACCCTATTCGTAGTCCATTTACCCCCCGGCCATAAAACAACGAACAAGTGCAGGATTCAACCGAATAGGACTCGGGCTAAGCGCTGAAATTCGTCATTCCCTGAAATGCCTAGTCAGTCCCCGTATTGCCGGCAAACACTGTAACAGTTTGATTATTACAACGTTTGACTAAGCATTTCAGTCATTCCCTGTAGTCACTGAACAATTTCCACATTGCAGTAACGAAGTTAATGTGGTTGTTACGGAGTTTAACTGAAATTGTTCAGTCATTACAGGGAATAACTGAAATGCTTAGTCAAACCTTGTCGTCAAACTGTTACGGTGTTTGCCAGCAATCACGTATCTTAAAAAGTGACATTATGCCGATTTTTTTTTGACATTATGCTGGTTTTTTGACATCATGTTGGTTATTCTACAAGATGTTAACTTAGCACTTAGTTGTACGTGTTGCCTAAACGTATGAGGCTTGTTATCAATATTTGGCTCTGATGTGATGTAAAATCTGCTTCCGAGATGGCATTACTGGAGGTCTAAACTATTAGTTGTATGTGTTGATGATAATTACATTGGGTTCTTGTCTCAAATACCCGTAATTGAGATTCAAAGCTAGAAATTAGTTGCGCATCCACTTTTTCTTATCCATTCTGGAAATTACATATACAAATTTGCTGAATTTCAAAAATGAGAGAGATAAGAAATAATTATATTCACTGTACACTGTCGAATTACAAGCCATATATAACATATAAACATAAAATTCATGCATTGAACAGTTTTTCGTAGTTAAAAATGGAATAAAATATCCCAAAAATACTCAACGTTTTTTCAAGCCATATACATGCTAACAGTTATTACACACAACGCAGGCGCGGTGATGATTTCGCGTAATTCTCCTCAGTTTTTCGTAATTTATAACTTTGAACATAACCTCTCTTCAGAAAGCACAACATATAAATTACCCGTCATATTCGGAATATTCAGTATTGATTTTCTCACACAGCAAATATCACTGATTTTATACTCATGCAGACCAATTCACATAATCATCCAGATGCGATCTGTCTATACAACCAACTTTCTTCTCAGAGATAAAAACTACAGACACGGATCACTCAGCCTCACAAAACTATGCAACCAATAATGCGTAATTTAGTTGAGTGACCTCCATAGATGGACGTTCACAACGATCCTAGTGAGCAAACGTGGAATGACTGTTTGCGCCCTAAAAACTACCTAGTCTGCAAGTTGACATCTTATAGGTTTTTTTGACGTTTTATAGGTTGTTTACATGATACCCGCACGGGGACTGACTAGGCATTTCAGAGAATGACCGCGACACATACATAGCGCGAGTTTATTCGTTAGCATGTCGTCTACGGATACAGAAGATGAAACTGAGAATATTTCTCCAAATGCTTCCTTCAACCTCTTCAGTGATGTCTCCTCCTGAAAACGTGACAAGAAGGGACGTTTGAACATTCAGGCAAAAGAAATTGTCCTTAACGTTTATAAGAACGAAAATTTAGAGCATCCTGAAATGAAAATTCATGATGTCGAAAGACAATTTTCAACATTGTCAAAGAATATGAAAAAAGTTAAAAATTGTCTCCACCACAGTACACGAAGTTGATAACTTTGATCGGAAGTGAGATACCTGTAAAAAAACAAAGAGTTTAGACATTACAGACCCAAGGTGGAAAATGCGATCCCAAAACCAACGCTTAGTGGTTAGAGCCAGAACATCGTTAAATGGGGGGAGAGTAGTAGTTTACAGAATTTCACTGCCTTTTTCTGATTTTAGGTTATTCAAATAATTTGGAAATGTTGGATAGGTTTCTTTCTATAGCGACATCTATAGGATGTACATTCAAGTCTTGACTGAGGAGAAGCACTGTGTACAGATAGCTGTAGCATTTGTATTAAGTGTCAATATATCAATTTAGTTTCAAAGTCCAATCAGAGATGTCGCCATTAATATTCTAGAACTCAGCATTTGGTTTTAACATTATTTTTGATTGATAGAATGATAATCGATGTATTTGTGGATCCTCTACGTTCCATTTTACCAGTCAATCATTAATTTTAAAAAAATTAAATTAGTTAAGTGTGGCGCTGCCATCTGGAGAACAAGTAAGTGATTAAGATATATCGTAGCAAAGCAGGTTACAGATTTCTGTCCTGGGCTAATATAAGTTTCTCAGACTACACGCGAGATGGCACTGTATCTGTCAAAGTGCTGTTATCTAGTGTAAGATAGTCGATCTGATAAGTAAAGTATGTTCCAGCAGCACAATTCCGATCTCTCGGCATACAAACTCGATGAAATTCAAGCTTCCGGTGCAAGTGCTCGAGAGTCCACAACAATGGCCAAACAGCGTACTAATCTTTTTAATTTCAGAGTTTGTCTTGAACTGCATTTACAGCTCTAGGATTTTTCAAACATTCCTTATTAAGTACTTGCTTGTGGCGGCAATCCCTTGTATTTCCTAGGAATTTCTAGCAAATGCAAGAGGTTGAAAGTTATGTCAAGTGAAATGGAAATGAGTGTACTATTTTTTTTTAATCTGTAACAATGTGTGGTCACTGGTTTCCCGCTGGTCACATAGAAATAGCTACGATGGTGGTCCCAGAAGTACCCGGCCTGACCTAGAGATGGCGAAAGTTGTTTGAAAAATATCATTGTATTAGAAAGTATGCAACCTATAAAGCATATGTGTCAAGTTTGAAGACGCCACGTTGTTTAGTATTTGTTTGGCAGCCATCAAGACTGAACGTTTTCAGTGAATTTGTGAAAATGGAGAAAATTGGTCATCGTTATGTGGTACAATACTTTTATTTCAAAGGCCTCAGCCCAACCAACATAAAAGCTGAGCTGGATTCTACTCTGGGTGAGTCTGCTCCTTCGTTTACAATAGTAAAATATTGGGTAACAGAGTTTAAATGAGGTCAAGACGAGCATCGCAGTGGTTGACCAAATGAGGTGTCGACTCCAGAAATGGTGAAGAAAATTCACGAAGCGGCACTGAATGATCGTCGACTGAAAGTGCGCGAGCTAGCAGACATAGTAGGCATCTCAAAAAGTGCGGTTCATCGCATATTATCTGAAAATTTGGACATGAGAAAGCTGTGGGCAAGATGGGTGCCGCGATTGCTCACAATCGAGCAAAAACAGTGTCGTGAAGATGTTTCAAGTGAGTGTTTAGCGAAGTTTTACAGCAACAAAGCAGAATTTTTGCGTCGTTTCGGGTTATGGTTTTGGCGTCGGTTTTTTGGGATGCGCGTGGGATAATTTTCATTGGCTATCTTGAAGAAGTATTATGCGAACTTATTGCAACGTTTAAGCGATAAAATCAATCAAAAACGGCCGCATTTGGTTAGGGAGCAAGTGTTGTTTCATCAAGACAATGCACCAGCTCACAAATCCGTTACTGCAATGCCCAGAATTAACGAATTAAAGTTTGATTTGCTACCTCATGACCCTATTCACCAGATTTAGCCCCTTCGGATTATTTTCTGTATCCAAACTTGAAAAATGGTTCAGTGGTCAAAGATTTTCCAACGATAAAGAAGTGATGTCGGCAGTTAATAGCTATTTTGAGGAGCAAGACAGTTCTTATTATAAAAAGGGTATCGAACTCATTGAACATCGCTGGGAAAAGTGTATAGAGCTCAAAGGAGATTATGTTGAAAAATAAATTCTTTTTTTTACAAAATTTTTGTGTTTTCTTCGTTGGGTCGGGTACTTTTGGGACCACCCTCGTACTTGAACGATATTTGTGACAGCAATTTCTTATATTGCCTAGGATATTCGAAGAAACCCAAAGATGAAAGGGGCTTGTTGAGCGACGTGAAAATGACTTTACCAATAATATTTAAATTCCGAAGCGAGATGCCTATTCCAGAAACGTTCTTCAATGGACACATTGCACAACAATTTAACGACTTCATAGAATTTTACTGTGAATATGCTTCTTTTATAACTTTTGCCAGTAGTTTGAGATTAAAATAAAGTAAATTTTAGTCATCAATCATCCATTTGCTATTTTCTTTATAATTTTGATGCCATGCTTGGACAGTCGGAAAAAGTTTCGATTTCTCCTATAGGTTAGGTACACCATCTTCAATACGTCCAAATACGTTAATTCAATGCATATGTTTGTAATTTTGCAGGATAGAATAAGTAGATAGGTTTGTCAGGTCAAACTAGGTCTCCTCTTCAACAATACCATGTTCAGTGTGTTGTATAAAATAGGACAAAATAATTTTGAACCACTGCGAGACCAAACCTACAGACCAAGAAAGATTTCTGTGCCGAAATTCCTAGGTACAAGATCTGGTTGATTCCGTCCTCGAGATGCCGCCAGTGAGTTTATACACCATTTCTACACTAGAATCGACAAGTTATCTATTTTTTTACAGTGTTCCACACACAGTATGCAACATATATTTCAAACTGCTGTCTTACTGGTTGCCTGCACCTGTAGTCAACAAATTATAAATGCGCAAGTGTCTATATATTGACGTTTTGCAGAATGAATGAACGAAACAAGAATGAGTGGGTCATAATAAACAGAAGGCAAATATAAATAATGGAAATCCCATGAACCAAGTCCGTATTTCCTCTTTCCAATGGAGGTGTTCAGGACAAACGATTTCTATATATTCATAAACGGAGAATATTCTCTATGGTGGGACAGGCACACAGGAGCATTTATACCAAAAACTGGTAAGTATCATGACTCGGGCTTTGTGTGGGTTGTCGATGAAAATTATCCAATTTACGCCCCTTAATTTAGGATGTAGGATTGCTTGTGAAAGAACAATTAACGCTAATTCAATAGTACAACTTGAGGCAGATAATCAAATTTATTAAGAGCTTACATAACTGATTCTATGGTTATTGCTTAACATCAATTTATTGCTGGCATTAAAAAGTATGGAAAGCTGCTAAAATAAAGCAAACTCTACATATTCCTATTATTTGCTCTTAGCTGGCACCTATATTATAATCCTATAAAATGCATTTATTTCTGTTTAAAAACAACTCATTGCTAAATATGCTGACCTATATGGAAATATAATTCATCTATTGTTAGTATTACACATAGCACATGCAACTGATACGTCTAAATAGAAATTTTGATAACAATATGAATCTCTTTTAAAGCTTTTATTATTATTATTATTTATTAGTTGAAGTTGAAAGTGCGTCACTATCATTTTTTTATAATTACCTAAGGAATCCATACTAGCTACTAAATACAATAAACCTAATTACATATTTATGTAATTTATTCATTCAGGCAAATAAAGAACATGATTTTTAAAATATGTGTCTTCTCAAAGTTTGTTGAAAAAACATTGTCTAACCACTGTCTCTATTCAGTTGGTGAGTACAATTGACATCACTGGAATAAATGGTGTGATATATTTTGAAAAAGGTTACATAAAAGTGATAGTCAGCATTTATGGAAGTCAGTACAGATAGACAAGATGGCCATAAATTATTTTGCATTTTATACTTAAATGAAATGAAATTTTTAATGTTCTATATATGTCATTTTATTGTACCAAGCATTTGATTGATTGGTGTATATTTATTTTTATTTAGTATTATTCTCATACATTTATTTTGTAAAATATGTTATCTTCATCTCTATCATCAGCAAAATTTTGGATTTTGCAAATTTTCAATAGATTTTTTTACATTATTATTGTTCTTAAAAGGATAGCCAGTATATTTTATGTTTCAGGCTGGGATTTAACAGATGCTGATGATCCAGTTTGTTTAGGAGTATGTGATGGAATTATTGGAAAAGTAGAACACAGTCCTTTGTTTGATCCTAGACTATTGCTTATCAAAGAAAGTCTTCCAATTGGTGAGAAATGCACAATCAAATAGTATTAATATATCATTTTTCTCCCTCTGGTTAAGCATCACATAACTGGGACATTTGTCTCATTTATCAACAATTTCAGGAATCTATTACTGTTGATGAAAACATATTCTAAGGATCTGTTATGAAATTTTAATCAAAAGATATAATATTTGCCACTCTTGTCCTAGATCACATTACATAGTATTGAAATCTGAAATATCTCAAAATATGCCCTCATATAGATAGATCTACAAACATAGAAAATATTAAACAAAATCCATGATTATCAGATGGTTGAATGATTCAATTAACATAAAATCATAACAGTTTGTAAGGTTACAGATACATATCATATTACTGAAGTAGTTAAGAAATATATCCATTCTATCATCCATAAAATGCTTTTTTGTTGAATTTTCAGGGAAACTCCATGGGGACAACATAGTCTTCAAAATAAAATCGGTAGCATTTTTGCCTTTGAATGGCGATGAGACTGATATTAATTTAAAACCATGTAGCAAGCACAAGTCAATTGAAACAAAACCAAGTCAGCAATCTGGTTCTTTATTTGATTTACAGGTATCCACTTATTACTAAATAGCATAATACAGGTTGTCCCAATATTCCACAGAAATACCTCATATATTTAGACTAAAAATAAGTTCACTGGATACTTGGCAATTTGTCCGTCGACTGATTTTTTTTTATATGGCATATCTTTTTATTTACTTCACTTTTTGTCCGCTATAAAAACAGACAATCTCCGATAGTTTTCGAGGAAAAAAAATAAGCTCTAAAATAATTTTTTCTCTCGAAAACTATGCGAGATGGCCCGTTTTTATAAGAGACAAAAAATGAGGTAAATAAAAGTATCTTTTCAGCAAAAAGAAATCAGTGTCGTTGAGAGTGCTGCTAAAAAATTGTTCTAATATTTAAGTAGGGGAGGAGGTAGTTTTCAGCCTTCTTGGATACTTTCCGGTTTTTTGTAAATATTAGAATCGACTTATTTTGAGTCTGGGACACCCTGTATAAGGCACTAACGTTTTCAAAGCCGATTTCTAATTATTCTGTCTCATCTCGGATAACTTTTCGGACGCGCGAATATAGCATTAAGATGGCTACCTTTAGGTAAAATGCGTTAATCAATCATACGAGTATAATGCTTTCTATTTCCGTAAAGAGTGACTCATGACGCCCCAACACATTGTATAAAAAAGTATTCATTTTGAATGGTTTCTAAGGAAACATTGATTTTTATATTAGCATTAGCTATAAATAGAACATATGTGATTCAAATTACGCATGTGGCCACACAAAATTTTTAAACCATTAACATGTTTCGAGGAAGGTAAAATGAAGTTTAGCTTTTAATAACTCTGATTTCCTATTTTCTTGTGATCACCAATTAATGGTTTTTTGAAAATGAAATATTGTTTATTATTCTGAAATGAAATTACATTTTTTTTTCATTCAAATTAAGTAAGCCAACAGTTTAATATGGAATCAGAATTAATCCCACAGCAGTCTATTTTGACTCCAAAACTGAATTTGACCCGAAAGTCCTTTGACAATTAGACTCAGTGCTCCGTAAGAGCACCTATCCTTAATTCTATTTATATGAATTTCTAGAGAAATGCAGCATTCTCAAAAACATGGGGCACCCTCAAAAGCGCAGGGAACACCATCAAAAACACCACCCAACAAGCAGCCGCTATGGCCTCGGGGAATAAAAAAAATACCATCAAGGATAAAGATCGTTTTGAGAGGCAGATCATCGACGAATTTCACAAGATTTTTACGGACACAAATTCGTTTTATTATTCACACACGACAGATCTGACCAACTCGCTGCAAAGGTTGTGTAACTTGGAAAAGCAGGATGCTATCGATCCCAAAGCATTGTGGAAATCTGTGGACGACAGGTTTTTCTGGAACAAACATATGCTCAAATCTATCATAGAACTAGAGGTAGGAGATACTTTGTTTTCTAAAATCGACATTTTTGAATTTGTCGAACTTTATGTTTGTTAGCTTTAATCATATCTTTTATAAGTATCCGGGCTTATAAACTTCCTGGAGCTCTTATATAACTTACACTGACAAATTTTGTTTTGACAAAGATCCACACTTCAACAGGTTTTTCGCCAATGGTGTTCTTTTTTTCCAGAATCCATTATGTGATCCGTGGATTCTGCCAATCATTCAAGGATATATTCAGATAGAAAACTGCAAAGTTGAAATGGGTAGAGATTTGGTAGACATCGATCAGAAAAGCTACGAAATTTTCACGCTTTGTATTTTGTCAAGGAGAAGCAGATTTAGGGCAGGAACAAGGTGAATTTCTATGTTCTTTTCTGTAAACTCTTCGGTATTTATACAGCGCGCGTAATGTTTTTGATATACACGGCGCACTCTAACATATGAGGGGTACCGGGGGATAACGACAATAGTCCATCTGGACTGATTTTGAGAAAATCGGTTTACTTGTTGGAAAGTAAAATTGATGAAAAAATAAGTCGTAAAGAATATATTTGCTAAACAGTGTGTTTATTGGTAAAATAGATTTTACAAAATGAACTTTTACTCAAAACTAGTAACGTAACAAACAAAAGATGATGTTCAACTCTGGACTCGTGCCTCTTTTCCACTGCTTTAAGCGTCTATTGGTCATCGACAATCACTGCTGTCTTCTGGATGATCAAGAGATATTAACTGGGTCACTTTCTGTTTTGTGTTTTCTGAAAGTTTGTGAAGTCGTGTGTTGTTTTCCACGCATGTCGATAGGCGATTTCCCAGTTGCAACCAATGAGTCTCTTATGTACCGAACTCGAAGAACTGTAATTCCGGGTAAAGACAAAAAATGAAGCATTATTAAGCCTTGACTCTGCTTCATTTTTTCGAGGGCATCTACGCATGGCAGTAATAAGACCACTAAGATAAGCGTTTTGTGAATTAGTGTTTCCTAGTTCATTAAATTCACGAAGAAATCTACAGCTTTCAGGTTCAGGAACAGTAGTCAAACAGCGAAAACGTTTACAAAAACAACAAGATCCAAGTTCGTAGGTAGTGGCACGCAACGTTTTCATTACGTCTCTTTGTCTTCCTGTTTTTTGCGTTTTTTCGTTTCTCTATTTGATGGGCCTGGTTCATTTTCACTTCACTATCCATTACACACAAAACCCGTATTATAAACTAAATTAGCGAATATTGCTAGAAACACGGATAGTCAAACACTAATTTTCCACCAATCAACTTGTATTAGCAACAATAATAATAGCACAACCATTTAACGTAATTTCGCAAATTTTGCAAACTGGGATTGGTCTCACCCGAGGGTGAGATGCCCGAAAATATAAAAAATATCTTTCAGTTACTTTGGGCGAATAACGGTGATATCAGCAAGCAATACGCTGGTACAAACACGCTTATTTTAATTTTCTACACATCTTATTGCCTGGCGAATGTATAATGTTCCCCAATTGAAGTCAATATTTAAGGGGGCGATTTTTTGGTGCATTTTAAGAAGAAAAGTTGATATGGACGTCGACTGACGAAATGCGGTTATCCACAGACTTTTCGTAAAATAAAAAAAGGTATCTATATATAATCTCTCTTGAATTTTTTAGTCCGTCGTACGGTTTTCACAAAAAAAATCGTCGCCTTAAGTATTGGCATTCATTTAGAAAACACGCTGTATACTTACCAGCAAAGTACAAAAATGCAGCAACTAGTATACAATACACCGTTCAGGAAATATTTGATAAGAAATCAACTTGTATTAACAACAACAACGATTTAACGTAATTTCGGAGCGGCAGATTATCCGACCACGATGTGCACTGCTCGACGTTACAGCTCGCTCTGCCAGGGTCGACGGCCGATCGTCGCTGCCTCAGCTATCAGAGCAGTAACCACACAGCAGTACCTCTTCGCGACCGGCAGCGACTCGCCAAAATTTGTCGTTTCTTACAATATTAATAATAGTAAACTAATAGCTGATGCAATAACGAAGCGCCCAAGCGGTACGGCCGCTGCAACGCCGCCTTTCCATATGGACTGATGCCGTTTTTCCATACACGCGCAGGGACACGTGCCATTCTTCCCCGGCACAGGGAATCTTATAGCTGTTGTTTTGTGAACCTAAGCTTTTTTTACAATTTAAGAAGCTGGTTACAAGATGGCATCAGGAAAATGCCACCAAAATAAACTGAAAGCTCAATTTAGCAAAATAATAGACTAATATGCGATGAATTTGTACAATTTATTAACTGACATGGGCGAAAATTTAGCAAGTAATATACAGGCAAATGTACCCAATACTCAGCCTCCAAAAAGATCTTTGAACTCATTTATTTTGGATAAAGTCGAGCAATGTGAAGTATACACCACTGTTATGTCCTTAAAAAATCGAAAAAGTCCTGGGTTCGATGGTATTAAAAGCGAGCATTTGAAAATTATAGCCGAGGACATAACAAAACCACTCACTTACCTAATCAACAAATGCTTTGAATCTGGCATATATCCCTCAGTTTTAAAAAAAGATAATATAATACCGATACATAAATCAGGAACAAAAACAGATGTTAACAACTATAGACCAATATCAATAATATCCAGTATAGCAAAGGTTTTTGAAAAAGTTTTATGTACTAGAATGATTCGATACCTCACAAAATTCAAAATTTTAAGTGAACATCAATATGGATTTACAGAAGGGAAGGCTACATCGGACGCAATAACTAAAATTGTAAATCAAATACATCAAAATATTGATAACACAATCCCTTCAATCTGCATTTTTGTTGATTTAAAGAAAACTTTCGACACAGTTAATCACAAATTATTATTAGAAGCATTGGAGAGAATTGGTTTCAGAGGAAACGCGTACTCACTGATCGAAAACTATTTGTCAAATCGCCCACAATCTGTGCAGATATCAGGATCGTTTAGTAAAGAAATGTATATTAAGTGTGGTGTCCCACAAGGAACTGTCTTAGGTCCGCTATTATTCAATATATATTTAAATGATATTTACCATAAATCTATAATGCAGCGGTCATATCTCTATTTAGCGCCAAAATTTTATGAAATTATACCTAAAGACTTAGAAGATTTACGTTTCGGAAATTGTTTCAAAAGAAATTTAAAAAAGTGGCTACACTCTATATCTAGGACTGAAATTCATAAACTCATAAATACGAACATCAAGTAAATACATAATCTACTGTAGCTAATTTTGTCCTTTTTTTTCATTTGCATTCTACAGTTTCAACTTAAAATTATTGGTCCATGTACAGGCGATGCCTTCTATTGGGCCTGTTTTGATTTTATATTTATTTACTCATATTGTTTGTTATCTTTGTACATTGAGTGAATAAATATTATTATTATTATTGTTATTATAATGCCGTTTTTCCCCGGTACCCTTCATATGTATTGCACGCTTCTCTGTCAAGCACTGTTACGCGGTCACCACTAAATCAACAACTGAAACTGCTCGAACTCCGTCTGGTGATGACTTTGAGAACGTCTACTATATTTGCTATATCGCCATTTATGATCAATTTTAGGTATAAACGAAGAGGCGTTGACGAAAATGGTGAAGTTGCAAATTATGTAGAAACAGAACAAATGATAATTTATCAAACGCACGAAGTGTCATTCGTACAGATACGTGGTTCAGTTCCAGTTTATTGGTCGCAACCTGGATTCAAGTACAGGCCACCACCTAGAATTGATAGAGGTAAGGAACAAAACAACAGTATCAATTTAGGACCTCTATAGGACTCTATTATCTGATTCGGCCAGACATTGGGCTCCTATAAACATGAAAAACACAGTTACAAGATTTACATGATGACCTTTAGTCCTGTCAAATGAACCCTCAAACTTCTGCGTATCTTTCTAATTCTCTTGTACCGAGAGAAGAGGCCGTGATGTGTAGAGCAACGAATTTTCTGATTTTCAGGTGAAGCTGAAACGCAGATAGCATTCGAGAAGCATTTCAATAAAGAGATACAACGATACGGACCAATGTGTATAATAAATTTGATTGATCAATCTGGAAAAGAAAAAATCATATTTGACGCGTATTCTCAAATGGTGTTGCGGTATAACAGTCCTTTTATAACTTATGTCACCTTTGATTTTCATGAATACTGGTAAGTTTCGTCAACATGTTGGTTTCAAGAAGTATTGAATCATTTAGGTTTATGTAACTCTTAAAATATGTTTAGTATTTAATATTTTTAGACTTCAAAAGGGCATTAGATAGGGGGAAATGGTTAATGAAATTGCGTCACTATGGCTTTAAAGGATCAGTATTACACATTTTATAAAATTATTTAGTAAATAGAAGTCGAAAAACTAAAGTTGGAAATATTATGTCAAGTGTTGAAAATATATCAGTAGGGGTGCCGCAGGGGAGTAAATTGGGACCGTTACTATTTATAATTTATATGAATGATATCTCTAACATTTTAGAACATTGCAAAATTCAAATATTTGCGAACGATACACTTATATATATATATATATATATATATATATATATATATATATAACTTGAGACGTGGTCATTGACGTCTAGACCAGTTAGGTGAAAAATTAAAGCTTCCGCCTTTTGTTGGGTACTTCGACAAAATTTAAGCAAAGAGGACTTTATACTTTTTTAATTCTCTCTAGCTTTCAATGGACTTTGCCATCATCATCAGGAGCTGCAATTACAATGATAACAGTAGCAACAAAAGTGTAAAATGAATTTAAATTGACTCAACTTCAGTAGTATGTGAGGATGTTGCTAATTGTTGTTTACGTATAGGATGAGGGAAACGTCCAGTAACATGGTGAGAGCTGGATACATGGTACAATGGTCAAAATTATATAAAATATGACAAGACAAGTTAAAAACAGATTAAAAATTATTTAAAAAACATTAGAGCATTACGTCGTGAAGCCACTTGATGATTGCACAAAATGGTGGTCATGGAATAATGAGTGAGATGAACCTTTGACAGAAGGCCGAAGGTTGTCAATGTCTGTGTTGAAAGATGGAACGAATTGTGGGCGTGTGCCAAAACGTTGCCAAATCACTTCAGATGATGTGATTTTCAGAATGTTATGTAAGAAATTGTTAAACCGACCGGAGGCAGTTGAATAAACTATATTTAATTATTCCATGACCACCATTTTGTGCAATCATCAAGTGGCTTCACGACGTAATGCTCTAATGTATTTAAATAATTTTTAACCTGTTTTTAACTTGTCTTGTCATATTTTATATAATTTTGACCATTGTACCATGTATCCAGCTCTCACCATGTTACTGGACGTTTCCCTCATCCTATACGTAAACAACAATTAGCAACATCCTCACATACTACTGTAAGTTGAGTCAATTTAAATTCATTTTACACTTTTGTTGCTACTGTTATCATTGTAATTGCAGCTCCTGATGATGATGGCAAAGTCCATTGAAAGCTAGAGACAATTAAAAAAAGTATAAAGAGTCCTCTTTGCTTAAATTTTGTCGAAGTACCCAACAAAAGGCGGAAGCTTTAATTTTTCACCTAACTGGTCTAGACGACAATGACCACGTCTCAAGTTATATATATATATATATATATATAGCACATAAGCGTTTGGACACTGCTTTAGAACTGTTAAATAGTGATATTAAAAAAATTATGAATTGGTTAAATGTCAATAAACTTAAATTAATCATTAATAAAACAAAATGTATGTCAATAGGGAAACATTTAAGTGACAATACAATTAGGCTCACGATTAATGATGAAAAAATTGAAGTAGTCGAGTCATTTAAGTATCTTGGTATATATGTGGATAATAAGCTACTGTTTCACGAACATTATGAATACATTATTTCAAAAATATCGGAAAAGATAAATTACTTCTATAGAGTTTCCCATAATCTTAGTATGTGTTCCAAAAAAAAATGTGTATAACACTATAATTCTTCCCCATTTTTTATATTGGTCAACCATCTTGTTTACAGCAAATGAAAACATATTTTCAAAATTACAGATTCTACAAAATAACACTATGAGAATCATTTTAAATAAAAAGAAATATGCTAGGATTAAGTCTATGTTAGAAGAACTACAGTGGTTGGATGTGAAAAATTTCATATATTATTTAGTTCTCGTTTTCATATTCAAATTAAAAAACCATTTAGAGAACTTCACAAAATTAAATAGTCATTATCATAACTACGAAACTAGAGGCAGTATAGATTTTCATCTGCAAAATTGTAATAGTCGCATAACTAGTAAATCTATATTTCAAAAGGGAGTATTTGAATTAATTGAATTAAGTAATGATATTAAACAAAGTTCGAATTTAAAAATGTTTAAGGTGAAATTAAAAAATCACTTTATGAATAATCAAAATACATAGTGACGTAATTTGAATTTTAATAAACAAAATGGAAAATTAAAGAAAATGGATTGAAGAAAAATATGTAACCGAATCATTATACAAAATTGACATTGTAGCATTAATGCTGAATAAATCCTCAACAACAACAACATTTACTGTACCATCAATATTTATTCAGTGGATTTCTACATCATTAAACATTGACGTCAATCAATATATTATGGTATTTTTGCAATCTTGAATTTGGATATGGTATAGTCCACCACAGACTCATAGTGTCCGTTTACGTTTTTTTAACGGTGGTACATAAGATATAAAACCGAGAAGGCAGCGTCTGAGTTGGTACCTGCCCATATCGAAACAAATTCAAAGCAGTTATATGGAACTATACATGGTGACTTCGAAGTTGAGTCATTTTTTTTAACAGTGAATAGATCTGATTAAAAGAAATGTTTTTTTCCTTTAACATTTTTCTGGTAAAATTAAAGTAACAAGGTTATACTGCGGGGTTGGAAATTGTAAAATTATGAAAAAAAAAGATTGGATTTTCTCTACTTCCGCGGTAGAAATTTTCTAACAAGATTTATTTTTACTGCGCACGCCTACTGGCGTGAGTTTCGTAATCGCGAAAAATGTTTTTTTCTCATCAAGAATTTCAGTCAATTTATTTTTTCGCCATATTGGATTTTTGCACAGATGATTTCTTTTTTAATTTTGATTCCAAATATTTATATGACTTCGAAGTTGAGTCATTTATTTTAACAGTGAGTAGATCTGATCAAAAGAAATGTTTTTTTCCTTTAACATTTTTCTGGTAAAATTAAAGTAACAAAGTTATAGCCCTTTAGAAGTTTGAGTACCGCCCTGTCTCAATAATAATATTATGTGCTCGTGTTTGGCATCAACGGATATAATCCGCCTTATCGGTTCATCGCATCGGAAACAAAAAAGCGAAAGAATTTGAAACGTTTATCACGATGTTTTTCGTCAGTCGGTAACGCGTGAGTGAATAGTGGTGTTTGTTGCGTGACTCAAACGCAATGAAAAATGGCACATGTTTACGAAAATGCTGAACTTGTGGACATGATTCTTATTTACAAAATGCTGCCGCGGCATCACAGATTTGTGCGAATCGGTTTCCCAATCGAGCGCAACCAACCCCTCGTGCCTTTGTTAATGTAGTACAAAGGGCTCGTGAATCAGGTGACTTAAGACCTCACAGGGGAGGTCATGCCGGTGCTCCAAGACCGCACGATCAAATACAGGTCCGCACTGAAATACTTGTCGGGAGGATACTTTATAAAACAAGGTAAAAAAAAAAAAATTTTTATTTTTACACACATATTTTGGTTTATCTTCCTTCTACAATCATTATCTGAAAATTAATGACTCAACTTCAAAGTCACCCTGTATATTAATGTTTCTTTTACGTTATTACCCCTTGTTCAAATCTATAACTTGATGAACCAGCTTTCATCGTTGTTTACACCTGTATCATATAACGTCATGCCATACGCGTGTAAAGAAGCAGAAAAAAATGTATACAGACACTATAAGTCTGTCGTGAACTATACGAGTAATTTGAATTCAAGTTCTCAGTAACAGAGAACTCTTATAATGTGTTTTTTATAGCAGAGGCATGCATTTTGAGAACGTCTCTATCCTTATCAACGCAGTCAGTGATACTATCAAAGATATGAACTACTGTTGGCGGGATAAACAAGGTCACATTTGCTCACAAAATGGCGTCTTCCGTGTTAACTGCATAGACTGTTTGGATCGTACAAATGTAGTACAGGTAATATTTCAGAATATGCCGTATGTTTTGAAAAACACTTCCCAAAAATATCAGAACTACTTGCTCATTTAATGATACGTTATACGAAAGGTTGAGAAATCTCAAAACTGGAGATACTACAGATCAAAATATGTGAATTGACCTAAACATAACTTAGTCCAAAAGTTGATAGTTTGCGAGATACACGGTGTCAAAGTTACAATTTTATGTTCTATTTTTCCTTATTGGTTGAGAAGTATTTCAGGTCTTGGCATAAAACTCGGTATAGGGAGGTTTTCTAGTATGAAAAACAAGAATCCATTACTTTTTATGACCAAACTTCCAGAGGGCGCCACTTTCAACACTATTTCGGTAAATAACTTATCATAACTTTTTTGTGCTACCCTGTATACAACAACTGACCGAAAAATCTTCTTTTCTCGTATTTCCACAACAAAAAAGGTTTACTTGTTAGACGTGTCTAAAGCTAATAGTTTTCGAGATATTTGTTTCAATACATCATTTGCAGCATGAACATTTGTATAACATAATAATCAAGTTGCTTTGGATAATGTCTGAGTAGCGTTGCTATGCTTTCTAATGTTTATCATAATGTTGCTTTAAACTTCATGAATAATTTTAAGTTGACAATAAGTTAAGCAACTTGATTATTATGTTATAAAAATGTTTTATCATCGTGGTGCAAATAATGCATTGGAACTTTTAAAAACAAATATCTCGAAAACTATTAGCTTTAGGCACTTCTAACAAGTTAACCTTTTTTGTTGTGAAAATACGATTTTTCGGTCAGTTGTTGTATACAGGGTAGCACAAACAAGTTATAATAATAATAATAATAATAATAATATTTATTTACTCTAAAATACAGGGAACATGAAACGAGTAAATAAATATAATACATCCATAGGAGGACAACGCCTGTGCATGGATCATATGTATGTTGAATTGCAAAATATAATAAAATAGAGAGAAAAAAGAAATTATTGGTAAGAATGGTAGAGCATTTATTGTGTAACATTTGAGATTATTTTATTAATTTGATTTCTCCCAATCGTGTTAATAAATTTTTTTAATTTTTTTTTTTTGAAGCCTAATGTATTGCGTAATTGTTTTAAATTATTTGGTAAATGTTCGTACAATTTTGGAGCTATATACAGGTGACATCGTTTCATTAGGGATTTGTTTGGTTTAGGAACATTTTTTGCGCGTAATTTATATCTGGTTTTATGATTATGTTTAATTATGTCGTGTTCACTAATAGTTTTGTGATAATGAGTGATGGTATGTAAGAAGTAAAATTGTTTAGTATCATATACTTGTGCATCATTATATAAGTCATTAGTTGGGTATAATTTTGATTTGCCTAACATTGATTTTAAAATTCTTCTTTGAAGTACATCTAAATCGTTAAAGTATGTCGTGCATGCAGCACCCCACACTACTATACCATATGTTATGTGTGGCTTGACTAAAGCTTGATATATTATTCGTAGATAATATTCAGTTAATATACCGGTTAGAAATTTTATTTTATATGCTATGAATCTAATTTTCTTTAGTATGTGAGAAATATGTACATCCCATCTCAAGTGGGGATCTAGATAAATTCCTAAATATTTTGTATCATTAACTCTATTGATTTTTATATTTTTATCATTTACCTTAAACCGAAGGTGGTTATATTTTGGTAGATGATTAGATAGTGATGAAAATGGTAAAAAATGAGTTTTAGTAAAGTTAATTGTTAATTTTCGGTTATTAAACCACTGAATAATTTTGCAAAAGTCATTTTGGATAATATCTTTTAAGTCTTTCCAATCCTTACCTTTATAGAGTATAGCAGTATCGTCTGCAAAACTGACTATTTTACCAGTACTGTTAATTTTGAATATATCGTTTAAATAAATATTGAATAACAGAGGACCCAAAATTGTACCTTGTGGAACACCACATTTAACAAACATTTCTTTACTATACGAGCTTAATAATTTTACTGATTGCGGTCTATTTGATAAATAATTTTCCATTAAAGTATACATCTTTCCACGAAAACCTATTCTTTCTAAGATTTTCAAAAGTATATTGTGGTTAACTGTGTCAAACGCTTTTTGTACGTCCACAAATACGCATATCGATGGTACTTTTCCATCTATATTTTGGGTTATTTCATCTACTATACTTAATAGTTATTTACCGAAACAGTGCTGTAAGTGGCGCCCTCTAGAAGTTTGGCCATAAAAAATAACGGATTCTTGTTTGTCATACTAGAAAACCTCTCTATACCGAGTTTTATGCCAAAATCTGAAATACTTCTCAAGCAATAAGGAAAAATAGAAAATAAAATTGTAACTTGACACCCTGAATCTCGCATGTTTAGGTCAATTCACATATTTTGGTCTGTATTATCTCCAGTTTGGAGATTCTCGAAGATGGATCTACATTTCGGGCTTCTAAAAGCGTGATATATAACAAGAGAATACAGGTTTACACCTTAATGAATGTTGAAACCGGACCAGTGGCTCTAGCAAAAAATATATTAAAATCGACTGCAATCCTTTCATCGCTCAGTACTATTGTTTTTTGTTTCAGACAGCATTAGGCAAAGCTGTCATGGAAATACAATTTTGCAAACTGGGATTGGTCTCACCCGAGGGTGAGATGCCCGAAAATATAAAAAATACCTTTCAGTTACTTTGGGCGAACAACGGTGATATTATCAGCAAGCAATACGCTGGTACAAACGCGCTTAAGGTACGACTATTTTAATTTTCTACACACATTATTGCCTGGCGAACGTATACAGGGTGTGTCCTGATTGAAGTCAATATTTAGGGAGCGATTTTTTGGTGCATTTTGAGAAGAAACGTTGATATGGACGTCGACTGACGAAATGCGGTTATCCACAGACTTTTCTTAAAATAAAGAAAAGGTATCTATATATAATTTCTCTTGAATTTTTTAGTCCGTCGTACGGTCTTCACAAAAAAATTCGTCGCCTTAAGTATTGGCATTCATTTAGGAAACACCCTGTATACTTACCAGCAAAGTATAAATATGCAGCAACTAGTATACAATACAGCATTCAGGAAATATTTGATAAGAAAGTGTTAATAATCATATACAGCAGACGCTCGATAACGTAAGCACGGGATAATGAAAACTTGCGCTAATGTAAACACAAACTTCGTTCTATAGGATCAAACGGAACGCGCGATAACGTAAACAGCTCTCGGCGCACGAAAACAGCGCGACGGTAAAATGCTGAAGCCTCAATGATTTATGTCGGGCGTCGGGGAGTCTCCGATTTATGATGTACAGTGTAGGGGATTCACCTCTGCGATAAAATACGACAAACTCGGTCAGTCGTATGATCGTTTAGGATACGTTTATACGTACGTATGTATTTCATTTTTGAACTTGTGTGAATACATTGCACGCGTTAATATATTTTACGACTATGGCATCCACATCCTATAAAAGAAAGTGTTTAAAGTTGAGTGAGAATGTGAAAATCATAGACGAAGTTGCACTAGGTGCGGGAGTGACACAGTTAGCAAAAAAATATGGAGTATCGAAAGCAACAATCTGTAAAATTAAGCGTATGAAAACTCAAATTTTACAAAGAACGTGCAATACATTTGGAGGTCCAGGAAAAAGAAAAACTTTAAAAAATGCGAAGGCACCTAAAATGGAAAATTCCCTGTATAAGTGATTTTTAAAACAACAGGAAAATCATGTCCCAGTTAGTGACGAAGTGCTTAAACAGAGAGCGAGACTGTTAAATGAAAAACTGAAAGAAACTGAAAATTTCGTAGCTAGTGATGGCTGGCTACAGCGATTCAAAACAAGATATGGAATTCGACTGCTGCCTATATCTGGTGAAAAATTATCAGCACAACCACAATTAGTGCAACCATTCAAAGAAAAATTGATGAAAACAATTACCGAGCTAGATTTAAGAATAGAACAAATTTACAACGCAGATGAAAGTGGCCTTTATTGGAAAATGTTACCAGAGAAAACCTATGCTGCATCATTTGAAAAATCTGCCCCGGGAAGAAAGTTGGAGAAACAACGAATAACGTTTCTAGCCTGCACTAATGCTAATGGTTCACACAAAATAAAGCCACTGGTAATTGGGAAAGCAAAAAATCCGCGCTCATTTAAAAATGTTAATATCCCTATTGATTATGACTGTTCAAAAACCGCTTGGATGACTAGCAGTATATTCCTGAAATGGTTCCACAGGTGCTTTGTCCCTCAGGTATGACAATCAATTATCACAAATGCTGTATTCATAATTTGAAGATGTGTTTTCAATTTGTAGGTAAAAGGTTTCCTAAAACAACAGAAGCTTCCAATAAAAGCGTTGTTACTATTGTATAATGCACCAAGTCATCCTCCCGAGCAACAACTGAGGAGCAGGGATGGGTCAATTTTCGTCATGTACATGCCGCCCAACGTAACACCGTTAATTCAACCGATGGACCAGAATATAATAAGACTCACCAAACTATACTATAGGAAGTTTCTACTTTCGTCTGTCTTATCAAAGAATCCTGAAAACTTATCTGAGGCTTTAAAAAAGTAACATTACGAGAAGCTGTTTTAGATTTACAGATGGCCTGGAATGAACTCAACCAGCAAACTATTCAAAAATGTTGGAACAATCTCTTTTGTACCAATAATGAAGACGATGAAGAAGACGATGTCCCCTTAAGCGTAATTAGAGAACGTTTGCGATCCAATAATGATAATGTTATTAGTGTGTCTTTGGATGTTGTTGATTTATTGAAAATAGTGAATCCCAACATTGTTTGTACTCCTGCTGATATTAATTTATGGAACGAAGATAAGCGACGAATGATGCTGTTAAGGAGGAGGATATGGACAGTGAGCATGATCAGAACGATCCCATTGAAGTCAGAAGTGTAGTGACTGACGCGCAAGCTATACAAGTTTTTAACCAAGCTTTAGATTGGGCTGAAAGAAAAGAAGTTTCATACACGGATATTTTAGTTCTTCGTAAATTACGGGCGCAGGCATTGGAAGACAATGATAAGCGCAAATTTACGCAGACAAAAATTGTTAATTATTTTTCTTCTAATTAAAAAAATACTTATCGCTGTTAGAATATTTGTTTATTTTGTTATAAATAGTATGTATTAAACGTTTCTTTTAATAAATCAAATATTATAAAAATCACTTTCGCTAATGTAAACATTTCGATAATGTGAACGACACTTGGATTAAATTAGTTTACATTATCGAGCGTCTGCTGTATTTCAAATCATCAAACTTGATTCTTTTCGCAATTTCTATAAACGAGTTATTCTTTCCAAAATGAAAATCGAAATGGTTAAGATTTTACCGAGTAACTATGAGAATATAGTATTTCAATTTTCAGGGAGATTACACAAGAACCGGGGAGAGGAAATTCACTGGGATCATGAAAGATGGGATGAATTCAGCGAATAGGTAACTTGTTCTTGTTTTGATTTTTCTTGATGGTGGATCTGTTCGGTATTTTATACCGATCAATAGAAACATTCTGAACTAAATTATCCGAGGATACTTCAACAAGCATAAGACCGTAAGACGAGTGCTCTTGTCGCTCGACATGAACAAAGCTTCTGGTCCGGACTTGATTGCTGCTATTGTACTGAAGAGGTGTGCGGTGGAGCTTGCTCCAGTTCTTTCGCGTCTCTTCCAGATATCTTATAAATCCGGCACCTTCCCAGAAAACTGGAAATTCGCTCATGTTCAACCCATCCCAAAAAAAGGATCTAAGACCGACCCCTACAACCACAGGCCTATAGCTCTGCTTTCTGTTATAAGTAAGGTGATGGAGAGGTGCAAAGCTGGATTAGCAACAGGCAGTATCATTTACGGCACCAGCGATCCACAGGGGACCTCCCAGCTTACGTCACGCAATTGTGGAGTAAACCCATCCAGTCTTATGGTGAGGCTCATGTCGTTGCTCTTGACATCACGAAAGCGTTCGATCAGCTGTGGCACGCTGCCCTCTTAAGCAAACTTCCATCCTACGGCCTCCCAGAAAAGCTTTGCAGATCGGTGGCTGACTTTATCTCCGGTCGCAAGATGTCCGTCGTAATTGACGGATTCTCCTCTTCATCCCACAACGTCAACACGGGTGCTACCCAGGGATATAGTATTTCCAAAGCTCATTGAGGCTGCAAAAAAAAATAGGGAATATGAAAATGCCGCAGTAGACCGACTGTATCGTGAACGTGACTGTAGTGGAATAATCAAAACTAATGGGTGATTTTTTTTGCTAGTATCTTTTTGGCAACACTGTTTTTGACAGATGACGCGTGAATCGTGTCTTGTGTCATTGTCAAACTTGTTCAGTTTGGTCTTCTGGTGATCTTTTGTTCGAATTGGTATAATAGGTATAATTGGCCGTGGTTCGGAAATTGTCGTATGACGTCGACGCGGTGTTTTAGTTTTTTTTCCCGGTTCGCGAAACGTTCGGAAGGAAAGCGATACCGTTTCGGAAACTAGAAACTCGGCGCTTTACGCGGGAGCGACAGCCGGAGCGGTGAGAGGAACGGATCGGATCGAAAACGGCCGGTACAACAGGATTATGTATCTCATCGATCTTTCTCTAACATCCTTTCGAAGAACTTGAAAAACGCCAAGCGCAATTATGAGCAAAACCTTGTATTATCGAAAGATAAGAAGAAGTTGTTTAGATACTTGAGATCCACCCTAAACTCTAAGGTTTCTTCCCCACAAATCCGTGATCCCAATGGCCACCTACATACTGATGCCGAAAAATCTACCAATCTTCTTGCCGATGCTTTCATTGAAGACTTTGTGAATGAACCTGATGGTGATGGTACTCTTCCGAACTTATCCAGCCCTCATAGATGCCTAGCGACCATCTGTAGCATAGATTTTCAACCTCAGGACATTGAGAGGCACCTTACTAAACTGAAAACTTGTTCGTCCCCTGGAAAGGATGGGATTACTTCTGCCGTTATGAAGTCCTGTGCCTCAGCTCTCGCATACCCCCTGTGCATTATATTCAACTCCTCGATTCAAAATCACATCCTTCCTTCCTGTTGGCGTACTGCATCTGTGACACCTATATACAAAAAAGGAGATAAAACATCTGCGAAAAACTACCGTCCTATCAGTCTTGTGCCTATAGCTGCGAAAATAGCCGAAAAGATTGTCCAGGAACAACTTATGACATTTGCGTTCAAGAACAACCTGCTGCCTAGCAACCAACATGGTTTTATTCCTGGTAGATCAATTATCACCAACATGTTACACTGCATTGACAATTGGACCAGATCTTTAGACGCAAATGAACCGGTCGACGTGGTTTTTCTGGATTTTTCCAGAGCTTTCGATCGAGTTCCGCATAAAAGGCTCCTGCACAAGCTTGAACATCTCGGAATCAGGGGAAATTTGTTGTTATGGATTGAAGCTTTTTTGTTAGACAGATCTTTCTCCGTCCGTGTTGGAGACGCCTATTCTTCTAGTCATCGTGTTACTAGTGGAGTTCCACAAGGATCTGTGCTAGGGCCAATACTTTTTCTTCTTTATACAAGCGACCTTCCCACCCGACTTTATTCTATGTGTTCCATCTATGCAGATGATACTAAAGTCTATAACACTGTCATGAACTCATCTGTGCTTCAAGAAGACCTCAAGCTGATCAGAAAGTGGTCAGAACTCTGGCTCCTGCCTTTAAATCTATCGAAATGCTACGTTCTCCACCTGGGAAAGAATAATCCTAATTTAACATATAAGATTGGCAAACATACCTTAGAGACTGTTCTTCATCACACAGATCTTGGTCTGACAGTTAATGGCCGGCTCACCTGGTCGGAGCACATTCAGAACATAACCTCTAAGGCAAAGCGGTTGCTATATATGATGGAAAGGTCATTCAGCGGTTGCACCGTTAGTACCTCCTCCTTCTTGTACACAACTTTCGTACGACCCCTACTGGAGTTTGCTGGTCCGGTATGGGATTCAAACCTTGTTCGCGATAGCAGCTTATTAGAGGCCGTTCAGCGTCGTGCTACACGTATGCCATATGGCACACGTAGGCCAAGTTATGAAGACCGCCTCGAGCTACATAACCTGCTTTTGCTGATAGAAGAGTACGAGGAGATCTCATCATCACTTTCAGAGCACTGCATAATTTGTTTGGTGTGAACATGTCGCATATGTTTCGTCTGGCAACGAACAGTCTCAGAGGCCATAACTTCAAATTGCAGAAGGAAGCTTTTAGAACCTCTACTCGTCAGCGCTTCATCTCAAACCGTGTCTTCGATGCATGGAACAGTCTTCCATCTTATGTAGTGAACTCGGAATCCGTCAACAGTTTCAAAAACAATTACGATAGACACCGCAGTGCTTAACATATTGTTCCCATTCTGTATATGTCTACTTCAGAAGTGCTAAGATTGTCAAATTGTTATATTTCTTTTGTCTGTACACTATTATTTATTATCTATTATCTATTTCTGTGTTTGAGTTTATAGTACTTGTACTCAACTCAAATTTGTTGTTTAATAATAATAATAATAAAAAGTCGAAAAAACCGGTAGATTTTCGTTCTGTCCGACGTTCAACATAGGTTTCCGCCGAAGATAAAGGAGCTGCGAACCTGGCGATTTTTGCGCGAGAAAGCCCCGGCTTCGGGCTCAAAGATAGCCGCTTTTTTTTTTTCTTTATGCCTTTTCATTCGAAAATTTCGATATTTTTGATTTCCTCGACTACGCGCTACTTTCCGATTTTTCCGGTTTTTTCCGGGTTCGCGGAACGTTCGGAAGGAAAACGATACCGTTTCGGAAACTAGAAACTCGGCGCTTTACGGGGGAGCGAGACTTGTCGCGGTAGGAGGTACAAACGCGATCGAAAATGGCCGGTAAAGTTGAAAAATTGGTAGATTTTCGTGCCGTTCGACGCGCTTTTTCGATCTCCTCCGAAGATAAAGGAGCTACGAACCTGACGATTTTTGCGTGAGAATGTCCGGACATCGGACTCAAAGATAGCGTCCTTTTTTTTCCTTTATCCCTTGTCGTTCGAAAGTTTCGATTTTTTAAAAATTGCCCGACAACACGCTACTTTTCGACGCGCGAAAAAGTCACTTTGTCATCCGGCTCTGTCCTCGCCTATTACTACCGTACGGGAGCGAGTAAAAATTATACAGCTATCGAAATATAACGATAATGAGCTGAGGAAACGATTCTGACCGTTAGAATTACCGTCAAATTTCGAAAAAGTAAACTTTGAGCGCCTCAAAGGTACCGATGACAGCCGTTTTTCGGCGTATTTTGTCTTCGTCGATACGTACCTTCGTTACGGATCAACATAGCTACGATTTTTTTTCGCAAAACGAAAGACCAAAGTCTCCTGATTAAACCGATATACGACACGTTACCCGATCGCATTTTTTAAACTCGGCAGATTAGAAAATTCAAAGATATGCAAATATTTTTAGTTTGAAGTTTTAATTTTGAATTCTGCTCCAGATTCGCGATTCCTGTTAGGCGGGGTATTGTAGGTATGATCGTATTACGAAAGCGAGCGAGTGCAAGCGGAACGTCAAAAACGTGCCATTTTCGGCTTCATCCAATATTGGATCACGCCAAATAGAATTGTCCTTTTTTACGCGTGAAAATCAACATTTTCGAATAGATTCAGAATCTCTATATTCTATAGTACAAACGGTACCGGACTATAGCAATATTCACAACAAGAATCAAGTAGGTTGCGATGTTTACAGGCAGTTGGTGTTAGGCTTTGACGTTTAGCGGTTGATAGAAGTCATCATCAGTTTGAATACGATAAAAATGATTGTAAGACCTTATTACTGCCAAAGATCAATTCCTGAAGAGACCAGAAATCTAGAATATAGAAAGACTTTCTACTTACAACAGTGTGTGTATTGTGTAGTGATACCCGGTGCCGAGTGTTTACAGTTTTTCGGTTCAGACGAAGTGCCTCAGTGTATATCTGTCGGGATAATGTATTTCACCTTTGAAGAAGTTTGAGAGGTACCCTTATTAATCGTCAGCAGATTTAAATAAGGTAAAAATAATTTTCATTCCTGTCAAATCATAAAACATTTACACTGAAGAAAGAACGTGCTATCCTTAGGCGAAGACGGTTACATATGTCAGTGTCAAGCGCCATTTTTTTGCAAGTCGTGCGGTAGCTAGACATGCGACGTTGCCGGATCCTCACATAAATCTGAGTTTGTCATACAATTTTATAGAGGGCATTAATGCTATATCGAAGATTTTATAATGCCATTGTGTGCTATTAATGGTGACACATGCGACATTGAAAAATGTAAAATGAAAAATGACAATGGCCGGAACGTAACTGGGAATGCCGCATCTGGAGTGAAGACCAGCCAGAAGCATTGCAAGAGCTACCAATGCATCCCGAAAAAATCACTGTTTGGTGTGGATTATGGGCCGGTGGCATCATCGGGCCGTACTTCTTCAAAGACGACAATGGCCGGAACGTAACTGTGAATGGCGAGCGCTACCGTGCGATGATAACAAACCTTTTTTTGCCCAAAATGGAAGAGCTGGATTTGGCTGACATGTGGTTTCAACAAGACGGTGCCACCTACCACACCGCACGAGAAACAATGGCCCTATTGAGAGGCGAGTTCGGTGAACAGTTTGGGGCCCGTCAATTGGCCGCCTAGATCGTGTGATTTAATGCCGTTGGACTATTTCTTGTGGGGCCATGTTAAGGCTAATGTCTACAGAGATAAACCATCAACGATTGACGCACTGGAAGCCAGTATTGAAGCATTTATTCGTGAGATACCGGCCGATATGTTGGAGAGAGTGTGCCAAAATTGGACCTTGCGCATGGTCGGAGCCGCGGCCAACATTTACATGAAATAATCTTTAAACATTAAATTATATCGACCGTTCTATCGACTCAAATAAAGATTTAATCGTTTTTTCAAATTTTTTGTGTTTCTATGAAAATCAAATCCTATACCTCTTAAAAAATCACCCGTTTGTAACCGCTCCATCTGTTCAGCGTACATCAAATCAAAGTTCTATTCAAATTCAAATAATTTCTGACTCGATTTATGAAAACTAACAAATCAAGTTAAGGGAACCGCGAAGATCGAATTTTGAGTGTGACTTGTATCTGTTCCCGTTGCAGATACTTTAAAAACCATTTCAAAGACTCGCTGCGCCAATGTTGCTTAGACCTGATGCAAGAAGGCGAAATCCACGAAGTCGAACTATACGATTTCTGGACGTATTTACGCATCGCGAGCCGAATCGCTAGCGAAGTGCTGCCACCAGATCCACCATCGGTAGGGCCACATCTGGCTCTGCAGCAAGAATTCGAGTTCGCGCATATGATCTACCAAATGACTAGGTCCGTCATGCAAAACAAATGCCGGTTTGAGAAATGTTAATAAAGCTTATGTTTTTTTATGTGTCCGCTGCAGTCTATTCATTATCTCGTTGGATCTATTCTAACATCACCCTGTAGCGGGTGTTTCAAAGTCGACGCGCCCTATTGCGGTCTCGGAAACGCTAAGATAATAATAATAAATTTATTTTCCTTCAGACATGCATAAACATGTATATATATAAAATATGTACAAATTAAATAAATAAAAAAAACAAACAAATAACATCCAACAACAAACAAGTTAAAATAGGAGATTTAAAAACTGACAGCTTTTCAGCTCAGATTTGAATCGGCCTATTGAGGTGATCAGTCAGGCAGGTTGTAAAAAATTTTAGGTTCTAAAATACATGGTGATCTGCTGCCTAACTTATAACGCGCAAAAGATATATGGATGTCGTTTTGTCTGCGAGTGCCCATTTGATGTATATGACTATTCAAGGTGAAATCATCTTTGTTTAAAAAAGTATAGATAGCCATATTGTAGAGAAAAAGCGAAGGCAGTGTCATTATTTTCAATCTCTTGAATAATACTCCCACTATATAGCTCACCAGCCGTTTTTGACATAAGAAGACCTTAGAAGCGTCCACCGATGAACCCCAGACGCACAAAGCATACAGCATGCGAGACTCAACCTGACCATGATACAACATCAACAGGTGAAAACAGATCTCAGGTTCTTGAATAAATACGAGCCCCTTCCCACTTCAGTTGGTCCAACTATTGAAATCTTAGTTTTTTTCTTATCAAACAAATAATAAAAATGTGGGTGTTATAGGTTTAAAATATTAACAATGAATATTTTGATAATATATAGTAGAAAACACCAATTTTATCACTCCCTAATCAAATTTACAGCATAAAAATAACACATGTTGCAATTACAGCATATCAACCTATTTTCATTTCAATGCAAAATAAATCTATAACGCATAAGTGGCTGTGAAAAATAAAAGCCATGAAAATTGTTTTTATTAATCACAGCTGTCAGAATACGTTTAAAATAGTTTTGGGTAGTTAAGGTTTTCAAAATGGGTAGAGGAAAGGTTATTAGTGAGAAAATTCGATTACTGATAATTAAATTTTTTAATTCTGGGAAATCAAACTCAGAAATTAAGAAGAATAATCGTGAAAAACAGGCGTGCCAATTATTTACAATTAAGTGTTCTGTGGAGTGACGCTGTTGGAAGGAAAATTTCGAGGTCCACAACTCATAGAGAGGCCCACAAGCTGCGATTTAGCACTTGCAAGCTAAGTTTTCTTACAAAAAAAAATAATGTACCACTTTTGAAATGGGTTTCTAGCAGTCCAGATCTGTCACCTATTGAAACTTTGTGGCACGAGATGAGAAAGGTTCTACGACAACATCCTGCTCGTACAATCACCGAACTGAGACAAAAGCTTCAAGAAATATGGGATTGTGTTACACCAAATTTTTGCCAAAACTTGGTTAACACTATGCCCCAAAGAATTTCAGCCGTAATAAAAAATAAAGGTGATGTTACCCAATGGTAATCTTTTAATTGTTGCTTTGTTAACTTCGCGCATTTATTCGCACATTATTTATTTGTTCAGATGTTCTATTAGCTATAGGTCTAAGTGATTTCAAATATGTATTTTTTACGACTAGAGTGTATCTAAAATGTTTTTGAGAAAATAAATTGTTTTAGAAGTAAGTAGTTTAGTTTATAAAGGCATATTTTGGAACAAATCTTGAAGTGGGCCAACTGAAGTGGGAAGGGGCTCATATGCTTGTGAATTCAGTTTTGATGACAGATAATCGCAATGTCCTTTAAAGTTGAGACATTGGTCTAAGTGGAGCCCTAAAAACTTAGTGCTTTCATCACTCTGCAGTGCTGAACCATTTAGAACAAGCTGAATCGCTGGTATCGACTTCTGAACCTTATGGAACCTTATAACTGTGTTCTTCTCGCTATTGAGAAGTAACTGATTTTCTTCAAACCAGCTATTGATGTTGTACACTATCTATTTATTGAATCAGCCTCATTTTTGTTTGATACAATGATGGAGGCATCGTCTGCATACAACGTGAAATGTGCTTCAGCGAAACATTGCTCCAGGTTATTTATATAAAGGGAAAACAGCACTGGCCCCAATATAGATCCTTGTGGTTCGCCCTATATTTACGTTAACCATACCCGATTTGACCTTCTTCAGTTGACCAGCCTTGTTGTGTGTTATTGCCACGTATTGTGACCTATTCTTTAAGATAGACTGAACCATCAATTCCATAGTCTGTTAGTTTGGCTAAAGGGATACAAAGTAGCCCAAATGAGGGTGAAGTTACATATTCACCTAATTAACAAATCGTCCCTTAGAAAGTTTCGAAATTCAAAGTGCTTCCAGAGAGAAACGGAGAAAACCGAATTTTTCCAAAATCGCGAAATTTTTCCCTGACTGACGGAATTTCTAGGTAATTTTGGCTGAAACTTTGGTGAGAAACTGTCAACAGATGAACAACGACATTGTATTTTATTTTGTACCGATAAATGGATTCTGATTATGCCATCTTGTAAAAGAGGAAAAGTGGAAATTTTAGTGTGCAATTTTATTTTGAAATCCTGCTACAAATAAAGTCAGGAAAAAATAAAACGATTTTGGGAAAATACTGTTTTTTCGAAACTTTCTAAGCGGCATGTTGTTAGTTGCCTAAATACTCTCCTTAAGCGACTTGGTGTCCCCTATCGTTTCCGAGATCCCAGTTGTGAGCGTCGAATTTGAAACACCCGATATATCTATGTATTTAAGGACTTATCACTAGAAAATAATTATGTAGTAATAGCTTCTTCTAAAATTTTAATGCAACTATATGGCAATCAAACTAATCCCAACGTTTTATAACCCTGCTATTTGCACTTTAAGAACACACATCTTCTAAACACTTTAGCTTGAAAATCATCGTGATATGTCTTCAGTAATTTGAGATACAATTTTTTCATCTTGCTACAATTCACAATCTTCTTAGCTTCGAAAATCAAACAGTCTTATAGGAAATTCACGTTCCAGATATTATTTGAGCCGATTCAAAGACTCTACCAGACAGGGAACGATAGATTTGATGTTGGGTAAGTAAACACCTCAGTTAGAATAATTGAGCAATTTTCAAGATCATTTTGAAATATTCGAGACAAGTTTGTTGATTTATTCAGCATGATTGCTGCAATTAATTTCTGTTAAAAAACTACAATAACGTAACATACAAATATATAGAAAAGCAAAACTTGCACATCTAAGAATTTTCACTGGCCATGAAATTTTCTTGAAAACATCTTTAAATTACAAGTAGAGTTTATATGGTTATTAAGTACTGAATATAAAGAAAAAAAATTCCAAAATGCATATACAGGGTCTTTCAGTTTATTGTTGCATAACTTTAAGATTCGATAGAACTTTTAAAATTAATGCATAAAGTCTAAATAAACATGGGTCGAAAAATGCGTGGCTTCCGAAATACAGGGTGTTTAAATTTACTTTCTAAAATAGTTTTTTTTAAATATTTCGAACAATATTTGATGTATAACAGTGAAAATTGGTATTCAAGGGTTTTTTGGTACGACAAAACGAACCATGGGCATAGTTTTACTGTAGCCGCTAGAGGGCGCTCTCTACTGTACCTGTAGTGTATTAAAATGACCGAAAATTTTTTCCTAGTGCAATTTTTTGCTTTTTGAATAAAAAAACTTATTCTTCGCAATTTTCAACATAAAAAAGCTCTCCTGTGAGTTTTCGTTATAATTAGCCGTTTTTGAGATATTTCGATTTTTAAGGTCGATGCATTTTTAATTATTTATGGGAAAATAATATTTTTTTTTACATTTTCGATTTGGGCATTACAAGTAATTAAGATGATCGTTTAGATTGTGTTTTTAAACACAGCAATAATTCTCTAACTCCAAATAAACACAAAAAACAGAATATTAATTTGTTTAATTTTCCAATATTATTTTTAACAAATTAAATTAATTATTTACAACTAAAATGCTATTGGATAGTTAGGACAAACATACAAAATCTAAAGTACTTGCTCGAAATGTAAACCCAATTGTTCAATACACAATTCACATCTACGATTGATCGAACGTGGTATACCATTATTCAAATAAGGCCTTATTTCATCACATGCATTCCTGATTCTGTCTATTAGCATATCTCTTGTGGTTACGGGAGTCTGGTACACTTTTTCTTTTAGAAATCCCCACACAAAGAAATCTAATGGATTTAGGTCAGGGGATCGTGGAGGCCAGGCGACTGGTGCTCCACGGCCGATCCATCTTTCTGGATAATTTTCGTCCAGCCAGTTTCTAACTATTCTCGAATGAGCTGGAAACAGGCCAATCTTCTTAAATCTAACATAACATCATCCCACATATTTGCATGTTCAGCCTTTAAAAATTCCAAGAAGATCGCAGCATTTAACCTTGCAGGCAAAAGGTAGGGTCCAAATAGTCGATTACGGTAGATACCAATCCACACGTTCACACTAAATTCATACTGAAAATGTCTTTCCCGAACTGTATGTGGATTTTCATGCGACCAAATATGTTGATTATGAACATTTACCATCAAGCTGGAACCGGGTCAATCTTCTTAAATCTAACATAATCATCATCCCACATATTTGCATGTTCAGCCTTTAAAAATACTGACTTTTTAACGTTATTTTATCATAAATAATTAAAAATGCATCGAACCTTAAAAATCGAAATATCTCAAAAACGGCTAACTATAACGAAAATTCACAAGAGAGCTTTTTTATGTTAAAAAGTGCGAAGAATCAGGCTTTTTATTCAAAAAGCAAAAAAATTGCACTAAGAAGAAATTTTCGGTCATTTTAATACACTACAGGTACAGTAGAGAGCGCCCTCTAGCGGCTACAGTAAAACTATGCCCATGGTTCGTTTTGTCGTACCAAAAAACCCTTGTATACCAATTTTCACTGTTATACATCAAATATTGTTCGAAATATTTAAAAAAAACTATTTTAGAAAGTAAATTTAAACACCCTGTATTTCGGAAGCCACGCATTTTTCGACCCATGTTTATATAGGCTTTATGCATTAAATTTAAGGGTTCTATCGAATCTTAAAGTTATGCAACAATAAAGTGAAACACCCTGTAAATATCGCGAAAACTAAATCATAAATATCTCGGAATTGAAACTTAGATTACAGACAAATTTTCAATGAAACATACGGAATTGTCATCTATGGATCCACGAATAACAATAATCTAAATTCTTCACAATTAATTCGAAAATTATTCATAGAAACAATTCATAACCAACCTTTGTCATATTCATCCAAACGGCTGATTATCGAATCAAATAAAAAAATAATTTTGCTTCTCTTCCCTTCACTTAACATGCACTTTTTGGGCAATATTAAGATCGACAATTTATGATAATTCGTAGGTAACAGAGTTTCCGAAGATGTCTTCAACGAATCCAAAACGACTCAAGATGAGGAAGATAGTGTAGCCACCGCAGAACACGTGAAATTGTTGATAGAAGATTGCAAGAAGATGTTGATTAACCAGCCTGAAATGGTGTTAGGAGCATGGGGTCTCATTAATGCTGATCCAGTTATAGGCAAGTTACATATTGTGGCATATTTTACTCCCCACGCGACTGGGCAAGGGTTCTCTTCTTCATCCCTCAGTGTCAACGCGGATGTTCCCCAGGGATCGGTCTAGGGTCCGACATTGTTTCTGTTATATGTCAACGACCTCCTTTCCTGTACGATCAGTCCGAGGTATAAAAAACACTATTACCGTGCCTTTTACGAATGTTTGTTACTCCGAAACCTTTAGGAGTATGACGATAATCGAAAATTTTAGAAAACCGGGAATCCTATTATTTATTATCGTTTCCAGGAGATCCCAATGAAACGGAAATGGACACCATATTGATCCTCACCAAAGACTCCTACTTTGTAGCAGATTATGACGATCAGGTGGACAAAGTGACGAACTATCAAAAAGTAATGTTGTCCGACATCGCCTTGCTAGAATTCGGCATGGCCGAGTCCCAGAGCTCCATTTTTAAGACTTCCAAACACCGGTACTGCATTAGGATTAACTACAAGATGAACGGTGTCGATGGTTACTACCATATGTTCAGATCGACGAATTTGAGGTTTTTCAACAACATGGCTGTCGTTATCAAGAATACTGACGAGGAAATTGGTGAGTAACTTTACTTTTGTTTTTTGAATATATACTAAGTGACATATAAATCCGAACACCCAGTTTAAATGGTTTTATTTTAATAAAATTTTGTATAAGTACTTAATGAAGCATAATAAGTAAATGATGTGTCTACACTTCTTTGCACTCTAACTGCAATTGCCCGAAAAGAAAGTCCAGCTTCCCGAAGTCCCACTATACGGCCCCTATCAAACTCACTAAGTTGACGAAATCGTACAGGTCTCCGTACTCTAGGCATCGTAACCGATCGTAAAGGATGTCAAGAACCAAAATCCGCCAACGTTGATTCTTTACTGCGGCTGAAATATTCATTTTTAGAGCGTTAGTGAAAGCAGTATAAAAACCGGAATGTCCAACTGATCAGGCTGAAAATTTTTTCACTTGTTATTTACAGTAAGATAAATACATTCACCAACTTTTATTAAAATAAAACCATTTAAACTGGGTGTTCAGATTTATATGTCAGTTAGTATAGAACATGTATAACAACTGATTAAGAAATTTTCACAACCGCCTGCGTGGCTGTGATCTGGACTCTAATTTTCAAATTTATATGTCAGAAAAAGCGCACGACGGTTAACAAGAAATAATAACCAAAACTCAAAACCATTGTGGTGATTTTACCATCCAGAAAAAAATTTATCAAAAATACTTTTTTTTTCTGAAAATATTTAAGTGCCACTAAATCTGTTAATGGTCGTTTTTTTGATCTGTCTAGCAACGTATTTTTCACAATGTGTGACAAGTGACATTTAACTTTGACGGATATGTCATCGCCAGATCTGTATACCCAGTCGTATTTTGTTGTGGTTTATTTTAAGGTGAAATTAAAGAATAACTTAACGAATACCCAGAATGCATATCGACGTAATTTTAATAGACAAGAATATAAAATTACAAAAAATTGATTTGAAAACAGTTTAAAAGAATATTTATACAAAATTGACATGCTTAAGGAGGCACGTCCTTTTTTAGATTTCTTTTCAACTTCCTGTTTGTAGGCAGTCCTTTTGATCTAGTAATTTCATGGTATACAAGGTTTGTCCGGAAAGTAAAAGGACTCATTCTCTTCGCACTGGCAGCGCTGCATCGACGCAGAAGGAGCCTATTTTGAAAGTTTTTAAAGAATTGTAACGATTGGCTCAATACATTTTTTTAAATCGACTTAGTCCTATTAGTTTCCGGACAAACCCTGTATATATAGATGACTAAAAAACAATGTTTTCATTTTTTATTGTCAAAAAACTTTTTGGGCATTTTATTGTCCATTTTTTCTTCAATCGGAACTTTAAAAAAAATATAAGTACAGCTCTGAAATTGTGTGTGAATATTCCTTTTCATCTCTATACTCACCATCAAATTATCAGATGAAAACGATTCAGAATACTGCTGCAAACAGGAAGTTGAAAAAAAATCTAAAAAAAAGGACGCGCCACCTTAAAAATCTCCCTCAAAATCCTCACGCAACTATAAAAGCAAAACATAATCCTCGTATTAAATGTCAGTCTTTTTTTTAATTTCAGAATCTCTAAAGGCAATCTGCGAGGCATTCGTTGTAGCCATGGACATTTGCGGTCTTCCACCTGTTCCCTTCCGAATCGGTCAAGCTTTGGACAGACGAAAGTCGAAAGTGTTCAACAATACATCGTCAAGCAACAACATTTATTTGGACATCGTCTCACTGCCACAGATGACGAGGAACGTTTCAGAGGGGCAGCTACTGTCTTTGAAAAATGTTGGTACGTATAACGTTCTTTCCTATGTTCTGAGTGTTTTTAATTTTCAGGTACAACGGCGTTCGAAATAGCAAATCCAATTTGCGGTAAAACCGAAGCGAAAAGGTAAAAAAAAATGATTTGATAAGCGGTTTTTAAATACGTTCGAGGAGTTCACACTTCGACTCAAAAAGGTCCGTTTGTTACAATTTTAATTTTACCTGTATATGCGTTTTTACATAACTTAGTCATGCTAGTGTAAATGTCATATTCCGCGATTTTGATTTTCATTTATTATACACGGTGTCCGCAAAGTTGGGGTTTTCCTTTACACGACGTGTAGATCTTGAAAACATAAGCAATTTTTCTTAGTACCATATACACCTATGTCTTAAGGGAACCGAGATAAAGGGCTCTGCAACATCAAAAATATCTGGATACCGTCCTGTAGCCGCGACCCGCCGGGATATCCCCGACTGGTTCAAGGTCTCAACCTGACGGCAGAACTGGGTCGGGGTCAGTGTGTCAGGTCAGTATGTAACCTCCAACCGACGGTTACGGTCACGCGTGTAGAGGTAATCGCGTAGACGAGAATCCCTCAACAAGCACTAGAGACGTGGCTAGAGAAGTGCAAGTATCAAAAACTAAAGTGTGGCAAACGCTGCGTGAAGAGGGGCTGTATCCGTTTCACGTCCAACGTGTACAAGCCCTTCAACCTGACGATTTTCCAGCAAGAGTGCGGTTTTGTGAGTGGTTGTTGCATCAACATGACAATAATCCGGACTTTTTGAAGTGCATATTGGTGACAGACGAATCTACGTTCACGCGTAATGGGGTGAATAACTTTCGCGACACTCATGTTTGGTCAGTAGAAAATCCGCACGCTGTCCGTCGGGCACATTTTCAACAAACATTTTCGGTGAATGTTTGAGTTGGCATGGTGAACGGTATGCTCATTGGACCATTTATTCTCCCAAATCGATTGGACGGGATGCAATACCTAGACTTTTTACGCAACATTTTGCCTTCCTTGTTTGCCTGCGTCTGCTCGGTAGCGCATCAGCTGATTTCATTTTCTGTTGGAGCGGTATGATTTCGGGCAGAGACGTACTTAGCCCTTCTCGTCAACTGGAGTGTGAGTACTTTTTCCTTTATTTTTTTTTACTTGGTCGCCCTCGTTTCACTACACATTACCTTTGTTATTTCAAGGGTAGTTGTTTCTGAAAAGGAAAACCCCAACTTCAGTCAGACTAGCTTAAGTCCATTTTTGTCAAAAGGAGTTATTGTTCAGCTTATGATAATAATGTGAATTTTCATTTGCAACACGCAGCGTCAATCTATCTGTAATAATAAGGAAGTTACGACTTTTTAACTCATGTCAAGTCGCATACAATACAATGCAAGAAAAATATATCAAATACAATTATCTCAAAACTACTTATTTGGACTTAACCTAGTCTGGCTCTGAGGCACAGACATGTGTTCTATATTATGTTTTTTAGCAATTTTTACTGTAGTTTTCCATTTTCTAGTATGTTCTGTGCCATCAACTACCGAACTAATAAAGATTCTTATTCTCAATTTCTTCTTCGACGTTCCCACAAACAGTATGTGTACGAGATAAACAAACCTATACGGCGCGGGATGGAAACGTCCAGGAAAATGATCTGAATCCACTCGAAAAGCACCTTGAATATACTTAATATGCCATTTTCGCTTTTTTCACATCCGATATGTCGTACCTTTTCACAGAGTTTTACTTCCCACGGAAATTGCCGAAGAAATATTGTATACGCAAAACCCCCGAAAATTAAATATTTTTTTTGTTTGATAGGATTTTACAGATAACGTAACGCCGCATTCGATCTAATACATCTTTTTATAAAAGGTGTTCAATATGACCATCATTCTCGTTCCTGCACAAAATTAAAGTTAACTTTCTCTAAGATGTCATTATTCTTCAATATATTTACAGCACTTTGAATCCTTGGCGTTGTCTATCTGAACCTCGCATACCTTTGTTTTTAATGATTCCCATATAAAAAAAAGTGCAAGGGTTAAAGTCCGGGGAACGAGGTGGCCATTGAATAGGAGGCTTGTTTACACTTTTTTCAGAAACGAAAAACATTTTTTTCCTCGAGAACTCTGTGAGACAGCCTGTTTCTATACAGGGTGACTTTGAAGTTGAGTCATTAATTTTCAGATAATGATTGTAGAAGGAAGATAAACCAAAATATGTGTGTAAAAATAAAAAAAAATAAAAAAAATTTTACCTTGTTTTATAAAGTATCCTCCCGACAAGTATTTCAGTGCGGACCTGTATTTGATCGTGAGGTCTTGGAGCACCGGCATGCCCTCCCCTGTGAGGTCTTAAGTCACCTGATTCACGAGCCCGTTGTACTACATTAACAAAGGCACGTGGAGTTGGTTGCACTCGATTGGGAAACCGATCCGCATAAACATGTGCCATTTTTTATTTCGTTTGAGCCACGCAGCAAACACCACTATTCACTCACGCGTTACCGACTGACACATTGACTGAATAAAAACATCGTGATCAGCGTTTCAAATTCTTTCGCTTTTTTGTTTCCGATGCGATGAACCGATAAGGCGGATTATATCCGTTGTTGCCAAACACGAGCAGGGCGGTACTCAAACTTCTAAAGGGCTATAACTTTGTTACTTTAATTTTACCAGAAAAATGGTTAAGGAAAAAGCATTTCTTTTGATCAGATCTACTCACTGTTAAAATAAATGACTCAACTTCGAAGTCACCCTGTATATAACAGACGAAGTAAAGTAAAGGACTCTTTAAACAGAAAAACTTCAGAGTGGTGGGCAGAGTTTCGTAAAAGTGTTGCTATAATTTATTCTAGAACCCTTTCGGGACACCCTGTATAACTTCTGTCTGATACCATTTGCTTTACAGGTTCTAAAGCGATCTCCAACGTGACCCAACAGTTTTCGAAACTGAACAAAATCGGAGATCGATTCAAGCCTAAACGTTTAAGACAACGACCCGACTTTGTCTTAGGCCAGAAAAGCAGAAACGAAACTTCCAGCGAATCGGATGAAGACTACGAAAACTCGATCTTCCAACCTAACATCGGCGTTGAAAGTAGGAGAGCTATGCAGTATGTCACAGGTAAAAAAACTTCAATTTGAAAATTTAATTTTTATGTCTTAGGATTTTGCATGTATACGAATCGAATGAAGGTAAGGAATTTTTTTTTGGCGGTAGTAAATTTATAAACTTCTAACCCCAGTACTTCTACTCGCCTAAAGGCAGATTTTACACATATGTTTTCCCACACAATTGTCCTTGAGACTTCAAACGATACGCGACGAATTTATTTGTTACCTGAACAGCTGAGAATAAATTAACGACACCCGACGATGTAACAATTGCTACATCTAGGGCATTCTAATTTATGAAAAATTAAGAAGAATCGTGGTCATGTCCGCAATAAATTAACGGGAGAAAAAATAAATGGATTGGTAACCCGAGCGACGTACGTTTCTGCTTATTGGCTGCTTCAGGTCCAAATAATAATAATCGAAAACCCCGAAGTGGAAACATATTCCTATGACAACAGCGTCCATAGTATTTTTAAACCATATAACACAGATAGTATGCATTTTAGTACAAGTACAGAGTCCACCAAGTAACGTCGTTTTTTTTTTCGTTTTTAGATGCCGGGGTTGAAGGAATAGAACAAGGCATAGAAGTAAGCGAAGATCTGCCCTCGTCAGGCTCGAACCACGACAGTTTTCTGCCAGGAGTGGGCATAGTGATGGGCAACAAAAACGAACAAAATTCCGTCGAAGGCGTCCTAGAAAATAAGCAGAATCTGTTGAGCAGAGTTGATTCGTCGCAGTTGGACGACGTACAACTGTCGAGCATCATGCAGAACGTCTCTTTGAGTCAAATAGCGCCAGAAATCCAAATTAGCATGGATGGAATTGACAGTTCAAGAAAGGTAAAATGATAAACATATAATTTAGGTTCCTAAAACTTTTGAAAAAAATGTTTTTTCTTGCGATTATTATAGAAATGTTTCGTTTTCATAGCAACCGCCAACTACTTTGCGGCTTGAAAAAAAGTTCAGTAAATCAACTGGCGAAATGGACGAAGATTCTTCAGAACAGCAAATGGACGAATGCTTTGACGGACAGGTACGAGTCTATCGAGTACTAGTGAAAGATGACACAAAGTACTAGAAATTATTTGAAATACAGTAGCGCACAAAAGTTTGAAAACGTTCTTAGTAATTTTTAAAGTGTGCTAATTTTTTTATTCTTTATTATTACGGACTATTTTTTTTCTCGAATATTTTGCTTGCAGTCTCGAGGATACAAATGACAGTTTGTGTTTGATGTGGTACTAAAGACTAGCATTAAAATACCTTCGGATTATTTTATGACCGAAAATGAGACGACAAAAGTATGGAAACATATTTTTTATTACAAAATTAAATACAAGAACTCTACGAAAAAGACTTTTTCGCTAATGTTTGGTAGCATTCAACACTGCCTGACATCTGCTGCTCATAGAAGACACCAATTTTACAGACGTCTGTTAGGTTTTTTGCCAAAAAAATTTTAAATGATTAAATAAGTCGTTCATATTTTTAAAAATGTTTCCTGTCAGTTGTCTTTTTACATGCTCCCAGAGATGTTCTATAGGGTTTAGGTCCGGGGATTGCGAAGGCCATGTAAGAACATTAACATTTTTTAGTCTTAATCAGTCCTTTACGAATTTTGAGGTATGATGACGTTTCTTCTTCAGCAAAAGTGTTCACTAAGAATATCTTTGTAAAGTTTTTGACCCATTGTCACAACAATTTTAACAAAACAGCTCCAGACCATGATGTTGCCTCCACCGTGCTTAACTGTTGATACGTTTTATCGAATCTTTGATAAGATAAAGCTTCTATTAGTGTGGGAGCCAAAGGTAGACTCTAATATTTATATTACCTGTTCCTTCACAATTTTAATTCAGCTATATGGAATAGTTCATAATAATAATATTTGTTTTCCAACTTTTGTCCGCTACTGTATCAGACCAGAAAAAACGTATACTTTGTTATTTTGACGATATTGTTTTTAATCATCAGATACTAGGAATACATTCGTTTCAGATGAATATGTCCCAGTCTCAGAGTGAGTCAGCCTTGAAAGACAAAATGGGAATGAGCAGCCCTCTGAGTAGTTCTACCAAGGATCTGGTTCTATCACCTTTAAGCAAACTTGCCAGGGGCATGCAAAATATTGGAGTTAATTTGGACCCTCGTAAACTTAGCGGCCAGGTAAAATGTAGTAATTTGAGAGAAATTCAACAAAATACATTTTATTACTGTCTTGGCTAATTTTTTGCTTTTTTTAAAGTACCTTTTTTTTTTTTTTTTTTTTTTATTTAATAAACCGCATCGACCTATTGGCCATTAGCGGTATCGGATACAGTACGTTATATTTTATGTAGTACATTACAAAGCTGTAAGAAGTGTATCAGGTTGCGTATGTTACAATTGGGTGCTAAAATGTCACTCAAAGCCATCGATGTAAGGTTGCATTCCACTCTATGGTGTTCTAGTAATGGGCACTGCACTAATAAGTGTTTCACGGTTAGGTTAGTTTCACATATTTCACACATAGGTTCTGGCTCCTGGGTGATGAGGTGTTCATGAGTGATCCGGGTGTGACCCAAGCGGAGTCGGGTGATTAGGGTTTGGTATCTTCTGCTAGTAGAATTTGGAGTCCAAGGTCCGAATTTAGGTTTTAATTCGAGAAGCTTCGATGGAATATTCTGCCAGTTATTATTCCAAGTTTCAATCACTCGGTTTCTGAGGAGAGCTTTGATGTCTGAAGCTGGGATGTTCACAGAAGATATTCTTGCGAGATTTGCCGCCAATTTAGCCTGAAGGTCTGCTTTTTCGTTGCCCCTGATACCGACGTGAGAGGGAGCCCATACGAGAACAACATTGTGGTTTTCTGATTGTATCGCGTGAAGGATCTGTTTAATTTGGAGAACTATGTGATTATTTGTGTAGATCTTCTGGATGAGCTGGAGAGAGCTCAAAGAATCTGTTATGATGAGGCTCCGTTGGATCGCTTGATTGTGTATGTGTTTCATAGCTTCCAATATTCCATATAATTCTCCTGTTAGAATTGTAGCTTCATCTGGCAATCGCATTGTAAGGGTGTTGGAGGATGTCACAACAGCTGTTCCTATTCTCTTGTTAAGTCTTGATGCGTCTGTGTATATTTTTTCATAGTTCTGATATTTGTTCATTATTTGCTGGAAGTGTTGTATTATTATTGTCGCTGGTGTGTCTATCTTATTCATTTTTGTGAGATCTTGGTTGATGGTTGCTTTATGTATGGTCCAGGGTGCGGTGTATGTACTACATTTATTGGTGTCCATGGGTATCTGGGAGATGTCGATCTTCCTCAAGTAACTATAGATTCTTCGGTAGAATGGCTTTTTGTTAGTTGTATCAGGTTGATCCATCTGCAACTCCCTATTAATCTGTTCTATGTTCTTGTGGCCAGGGATATTTGGGTTTGATGCGAGCTTAGTAGCATATGCTAGGCTCAGAAGCTCCCTTCTGTCATTCAGCGATAGTTCACCGGCTTCACAATATAAGCTTTGGATTGGTGTTGTTCTAAATGCTCCGAGTATTAAGCGCAGTGCTCTATGGTGTATACTGTCTAATGGCTTGACAGTGGAACTACTGGCTGAGTCGTAAATTATGCTTCCATAGTCAATTTTAGCTCTTATCAGTGATCGGTAGATGCTGAGAAGGGTTTTACCCTCTGCTCCCCAGTGTCTGTTGGCTATATATTTTAGTACGGTCATCCTTTTTTCACATGATTTAACTAGATATTCTATGTGCTTTTTCCATATCAATCGGTGATCGAATATAAGTCCAAGAAATTTGATTTCTTGTGTTCGTTCCAAGGATACATTATTTAGTTTTAACGGTTCTCTGGAATGGGTTGTTTAAAGTACCTGTTTTTAGCAGTTTTCATCTGTCTATAGAGATGACTAAAAACATCGTTTTTAATTTTGTTTTGACATAAAATCCATTTTTGTGCATTTTATTGTGGATTTTTTCCTCGATCGTAAGTTGTTAACAAATATAACTACAGCTCTGAAATTGTGTGTGAATATTCCTCCTTTATAGAAAAATGAAACGAGTGATTACTTTTGTTCTTATCACTTTTCATTTTCTAAAAATCTTTGATTTGCTTGAAGCCTCGACTCACAGCTAGTTGGGTTTTCAAGAAAAGCAAAGATTTTTCGTTAAGGAAAACTGATAAGGACAAAAGTAATCACTCGTTTCATTCTTCGATAAAATAGGAATATTCACACACAATTTCAGAGCTCTACTTATATTTGTTAATAAGTTCGGATGGCAGAAAAAATGCATTTTTTGACAAAAAAATATATTTTTATTTTTACACACAATTTTTGACAGGTGCGACATATAAGCGAAAAGGACATAGAGGAACACAAGAAACTCCAAGAACGATGGCAAAATAGCAAAACAAGGCTTGTTGCTTTATAATTATAATCGCAAATCATCTACTATACTTGATTTAACATTTGTATAAAACATATTTAGAACCTGCATTGCAAAAAATTCATCAAATGCTTGGTCAAGCATATTGGGAACCTGTGATAGACATCAGATTGACGTGTCTCAATGTTTTTACTCGTTTTATGGTCCAAATTATATCAACTGGCTGCTCCCTGCGAAATTTCATGTTTATAGGTCAAATAGTTTTCGAGATTTCGTTTTTTTTATATCTGCCTTTAGCCCCATTATTCCGGCCCAGTTTAAGAATATCTTCTTAGCTGATACGTTTTGTTTATAAATGCCAAATTTTATGTTCATAGGTCAAATTGTGTTTGAGATGAATTTGTATAATCTTGAAAAGTGATCAGGTTCTTCATAGAAATATTCAACATTTGCAGGATATGATTTCTGAAAAACTTTGTTAATAATTATTTAAAGCTGAATATTATAAATTCTTAAAAATATGCAATTGTTAGTGGCCATTTACAATGTATCAAAGAAGCAGCGACCATATGAAACCCATATCTACGAGGTTTGTCCAGAAAATACGTATAAAATCGAAAAAATAACTTTATTTTATAATTTTTTTTAGTATTTTCCGGACACACATCGTATATACCTAATATTAAAGAATGCTTCTCCATAGTAGCTTTTATCCCTTATTTCAACCCCGTAAAGTCATTTTCACAACAATTGGTAGCCTATATCTATCTTCAAGGTCATTTATAAATATCGAATTAGGGATATAATCTGATTAAAAAATCTGTGCTGCTCTAATGGAAAATTTTGGAGTGTGAGGTTGAATCATTAAAAAACACGTTATGCCCGAACCTGATATCGTATCACAGCTCTCCTATCGAAGTGTGTCAATTATATTTTAGAACGTCATTGTAAAGTTTTAAGCGTGGAGTATGCACAAAAAATAGTGATGCCTTAGTGATATAATAATATAGTTGTTATTGTTGATTCTTTATTATTAATTTATATCGTATACACAATATTATTTATTCATAATTTATACTTTATTGTTGATAACTATATTCAAATAAGCCTGTTTGAACTTATTGCGAAATATTGATTTTTGATCTTTGTTGTCTATGCAACATATTTTATTGAATTTACTCGATTATTCAAGTTTTGGCAAAACATTTAAAGCAAATTGAATTGAAATGTTGAAAAGTTGAAGGCAATAAAAATCAGAAATAAAATGTTTTGAGATATGTTTTCTGGAAATAAATGACGACCATATACAGGATGATTAAAAAATAATGCAGTATTTTAAGAGCAGGAGGTGTATCCAAAAATAACAAAAAAAAAAATTGGGTGGGACCCCGCAACAAATTATGATACGGAACTCCTGAATAGCAAGCTACGCAACTGTTGTTGATTTATGTTGCTCTTAATTTAAGTTACCATTAAGTCAGTATTAGAAAACGCTATTTAATCTGGGGCTTGAAAGCTTTAAAAAACGAAACAATAAATGCAAGAGCCGATTAGAGTAAAAAATGTGATACATTCATTTAAATGTATAGTTATTACAGTAAAAATAGTAATAGTTACTCGTTCGAATTGTTACTAGTTTGCTAAAAAAAATGACACAGATTATAGTCCAGTTTGAAAGGGGCACTCAAAATCCTCAAAATTTCTATATAATGGGTGACCAATGAGAAGCTCACTTTTTGATTTAAGAAAAAAGAACTACAAACTTGATGAAAAGAAAATATTAATTACTATCGACATACTCGTAATTTCGGCGGTTTTATTTCTTAAATATCATTCGGTCCAGCGGAATGCTTCCGTACAAAATGCCGAGGTTTTGCAATGACCGAATCACTTACTTACTCTTCGGTTGATAAAGTAGGTGTGGGGAGGAGAATGGGTTGACTAAGCCGGAACCTCTTAACCCACTTTTTCTAGGTTCCTACTTGGAGCATCTTTTAGTCGGCGAATGTTGTGTCGTGTACAAAATTTCCGAAGAACAGCTGCCTTTGAATCACCACTCTCAAAGTAAGCCTCTCCGGCAAAAGCACGTTGTGCTCCGGTCCAACGTTCCATTGTGACTATTTAACCCGCACGCCGAACGCGTCGATCAAGACCTCTCCCCCCACTTCCTCGCGTATACGGTCGCCGCGTAATTCAAATTTGAAATGTGAACTTTCCCACTGTACACCCTGTGTATCCAAACATACCTAAAACTTGATTTTATATAACTTTAAAACAGACTTTTGTATCCGGTACATTTGTAGAGAATGAAATTATTAAACATTCTTGTTTTCCTTAACACCGAGTTTTACTGGACTATAATCTGATGTCTCACCAGTGTTTTTAAGTATTGTACCGTGTTTTTTGAGCAATAAGAAACCTGACGCATGCTAAAATTAATTGCACCGAATCTGCACGATTCTTGCAGTTCTTTCTTTTTACGAATCTTGCGAGTTGGCAAACAGGTTTTGGGGAAAATGCCGTTTACGTCCGTGGGGTTTTTTCTTTTTTTTATGTTATCACTCTTCTTTCAAAGTTTTGGTTTACTTAAATTTGCCAACTCAATATTGAGTTAGATGTTTAAGGCATAAAATCCACCGCATTCCATAATATTCCTTGCTGTGATGTGAAAAAAGAATGATTTAACGAAAAATACACTAGTTATTGCTTGTGAATAAAATTTTTTTTACTAGATATTCGTGTATACATACATAGTTTTAGGCACAGCATGATGATAATTACTATAACAGTTCTGTACTAGCAACGTTTTTCACCATCACAAGTCAGTTGCACAAAATTAGGGTTGATTATAAGGGTTTTGCAGTTCAGTAATACAAACTTAACTAAGACTCACGCAGTATGCTATGTAGCTATTGAATATTTGTTCTTTTAGACTAAAAAAAATAATACTGTATTTTTTCAGACCATAAAACTTTAATTTTCAAATATACTTTTCTTAGACATGATCTAATCATATTAGACGAAAATACCCCTGGTTTGCGAAATAATTGTGAAGTCTGGTTTTAAGCATCCCACAAACCGGCGCGAAATATTCGCTTTGGCTGCGAAAATTTCGCGGCGATGAATTCGCGATCAGATTAAAACGCGCCGGTTTACGGACAGGCTCAGACTTGTGCGAAGCGATTGCGATTGTTCCAGCGTTTTTATCGCCTTTGACCGCGTTTTTGACGCCGTTCTTCAAAAATTCGCAATGGCAAAAACGGAATTATTGATAGAAATAGTGAAAAAGTATCCTTGTTTGTATGATTTGTCGAACGATGAATACAGGAATGTGAGAAAGAAAGACAAGATTTGGATGGAAATAGGAAAAGAATTAAATACAAATAGTATGTATATTTTTTATTAACTTGTTAAATAATTTACAGTCTACACAAATGTGAAAACGAACATTCTGTATATTGGGCATAGGCATATCAGAATTAAAATAATTTACGAATTTGTCACGAGTAGAAAATGCTAGCCTTGCTGCCCGCCGAGGATCATTTGCTATATCAGTAAAAGCTCCAAGCACGGGTTCTGGGGGATCTAAGAATTGAAAATATTTGTCATCGCCACTTTTACTTCGTAAAAAATTGTGTAAAACACACGCCGTACGTACAATTAGAATAGTAGTATCTACTTTAGTTTCTAATGGCCTGTAAAATATTCTCCATTTTTGAGACAAAATACCAAACGCATTTTCCACGACCCTTCTAGCTCGACAAAGTCTTACATTGTATTTCTCTTTTCTGACGTCTGTTAAAGTCTGCTTATAAGGAAATGGTCTCATAAGGTATGGTTTTAAAGCAAATGCTTCATCACCAATTAAGACGTACGAGCAGATTTCATTTTGCCCAGGGAGAAATCTAGGTGCAGGGACACTCATTCAATTTTGTTCAAATCGTTTTCCCATGTTTGAGGTTTCGAAAATACCCCCATCACTATTTTTTCCGAAACCACCAATATCAACACATATAAATTTATAGTCCGGGCCAACAATGGCCATAAGTACTATTGAATATTTATGTAAATAGCACCAGTAATTGGAGCCACTGTTGTTAGGTCTCTTGATTGTTACAAGTTTACCGTCCACGCTGCCAATGCAATTGGGAAATCCCCATCTATTTTCAAATTCTTCAGCACATTTTTTCCATATATTCTCTGTTGGTTCTGGTAAATATATATGTTCCATATGTCTGCATATCGCTTCACAGACTTCGGTTACGATTGCACTCACTGTTGTAAAGCCAACTCGAAAGCTATGCCCAATGGTATAGAAGGTGTCACCAGTGGCAAGGCATCTATACAAAAAATCGTTTTTAGGTGATGAAGTAAAAAAAAGGTGGAAGAATATCAGAGACACATTTGCAAAATATATAAAATCTACCAAACCAAAGACCGGCCAAGCAGTGGACAACATAAAGAAATGGCAGTGGGCTGACCACATGGAATTTTTCCGTCCTTTTTTGGCATTTGCCAAAACGTCGTCTAATGTGAAAGATATTGACGTCATACATTATGAGACTGCCGAATTTAACTCAAATATATATCAGGAAAGGGCTGGAAATGTAGAAACCGAACATTTGGAAGACCGCGACCATGGAGAAGATGAAAATGCTGATGTAGATGCAGAAGATGCACAGAACGCCTCGGCAACACAGACAGCACCACCTTCTTCATTGAACACTACAGCAGTGACTACTCCAGGGCACACCTTTCCGCAGACTGCAACTACACCAAAATATAAAACGAGCAGAAAACGTTATGAACCACCATCTTCGTCTGTACAACAGCTCATTATTTTGAAGGTAAAAAACCTAAAAAAGAGAACGAGGCCATTGATTCACTTTTCTTGGCACATGCACAGACTGTGAAAACACTTCCCTTAAAGCGTCAAGCCCGAATAAAACTAAAAATAGCCGAATTAATAGCGCACGAAGAATTTGAACATATTGAAGAAATGTCTTCAGCGTCTACCCAGAATTCTGCAAGTATGTATGATAGTAGTATGTCGTCCTTCCCAAGCGGCACTCGGTTCACTCCAATAATATACCCAACAGAGGAGGCAAATTCTGCCTCGAATTATTTAGCAACATTTAATCCTAGTGGCAACATGTAGTCCAATTATTACAATAAAATATTTATTTCACGATCCCTGAAGTTTTCGTATTCGATAAGCCTACTAATTTTAATACATATAATTTTTTTACCTGAGTGTAATAGCAAGTCGTTCTTCTGGCGAAATAGCTTCACGATAATTTGTGTCAGATTTTCGTATTTCATCTTTCACCAATTTCAATATTTCATCGAAACACTCTGGAGTCATTCTAAAATATACGTAAAAGCGCTGTTCATCCAGCCGAAGTTGTGGCATCAAGGTATGGTATTCCCCAAATTTATTTCGTTCCAAGTTAATATCATGTACCCACTTCCTTCGTTTCCTAAACAAAATTGAAAACATTTGTTTTATGTACTTCGTTAAACTTAATACATACCCAACTATCAAATGGCGTTAAATAAACATAACTTACCGTGCATTTTGTTCCTCTTCTAAAGCAAGAAATAGAAGTGCCTCCTCTTCTTCTGAAGACGAGCTCATTGCAAAAGGCAAAAATAAAATGTACGCAACCTGGCGAAACAGATTGCGAATTTCGCTCTGAATTTCGTTGCGAATACTTCGCCGCGATTATTTCGCGCCGGTTTGTGGGATGCTTTATTGCTGCAAGGGGTTGCGATTGAACTAACCCTGTATATTGCTCAATAAACTAGTAGTGATGGCCGGACAATATAATCTAATTTTGCTATTACTTGCGATTGAATCTAAAAAACACGTTGTCTTATTCTTTGTTGTCAAATTAAAAGTTTTCCCACAAAAGTTGGTGTACCCATTTTATGCGTCATATTTTAAATACGCCCTTGAACAACTTGCACCAATAAAACCAGACTTTACAATTATTTCGGGGAAATTTGCTAATATGATACTGTTTGTAAACAACAGCATAACCTCTCAAACCTTTAAACATGCATACGTGACTTCTACTAGTTTACTTTAAAAGGCACCATAATTTTTTTTTCTTAGATTCTGGCTGGTCTTCCACCTAACCCAAAATGAAAATTTCACCTACACGTATTGTCGCTTGAATATAGAACTAGCGCAAATCCACTTCCGGTGAGATTACGTCTTTTCTTTAGACAAACAATGCCGGAGTTACGACATCGACTAGCTGTTTTCTACAAATCTACTTAGACGGTTTTCCCTCAGCAAGAGATGTAAGCAAGATTCTGAAATTTTTGAGAATAAAGTCATTGAGGCAACTTACGCCTTCTTTCTGAACAAATAGATTTCCGAGATGTTTTAACAACGGTACTTCAGAATCCCTCTTATCTATCATAGATACCACTGAACGTCAAACTCACGTTGTTTATAAGATCTGCCCTAATTTTGAGAAATTTTCACCTCTTCGTCATACATGTACTTAACCGTCAATTATGTAAGTGTATATTTACCGATTTGTAAAAACATGAATAAAAAACGTGTGCAAGCTGAACTGTATCGTTTTATTTTTTCTAATCTACTGATGATGACGATAGTTCTGTAGATCAGGTTCTCCTTGGAATTAAAATTAAATGACTCCTAAGTCTGATGAATAGAATATCTGTTTTGAGGAAAACAAAAGCAGATAATACGTATATCGCTTTTAGGATGTTTTGCAATCGATCATGCTATTAGATTTTTATTAACGTAAATGGTGATGTGTAAATATTTTGGTGACGTTTTGGAGTGTTTTCGATACATATTAAGCAATGTTTCAAAGACTACGAACAATATGAATAAATATTTAAATATAAGATGTTCAACAAGATAATAATACAATTCTCAAAAGCTTATTAGAGCTTTAAAGACGTCTGTTGGGATATTTTGAAAAATATTTTTTACATAATCAAATAAATCGTTCGTATTTTTTTTAAGTTTTTCTTGTCACTTGTCTTTCAACATGCTCCCAGAGATGTTCTATAGGGTTTAGGTCCGGGGATTGCGAAGGCCATGTAAGAACATTAACATTTTTTAGTCTTAACCAGTCCTCTACGAGTTTTGAGGTATGCTTGAGGTCATCATCTTGCTGGAATGTCCATCGTAAAGGCATTTCTTCTTCAGCAAAAGAGAAGAGCATGTGTTCACTAAGAATATCTTTGTGAAGTTTTTGATCCATGAATTACTTTTTGTGACAACAACGGTTACAGCCTGCTGTGAAAAGCAAGGATTAAATCCTACGCTTCTCAGGGGAGCATGATGCGCGCTATTGTATGATTTTTCTTACGCAAAAACTTTACAGACAAATCATGTATCATTTAGAAATTATGTAGCAAAACTGCACAAAAAAATTTTGGTATCGTTGGACAATAGTTTAAGTAAACTTCGCAGGCCAACTCTAATCATTTTACCATTGAAAACTGCGTAGAAAGACTGCATACAAGTCTTGGCACTCGTACAATCGGAAATTGTGTACAAAAACTTCACGGACCAACCATAGTAACATTAGAAATTGTTTACGTAAATTTGACAGACAAACCAGAATCATACTACCACTGGAAATTGTGTACAAAAACTTTCAGAAAAAAAAAACACTTCATCATTGGAAATTGCGTAAAGAAAACCTCCCAGAGAAATCATAGTATTATTGGAAATTGTGTAGAAAGACTGCAAGATCGTTTTTGCATACAAAAAATTTACAACAGACAAATCGAACTTTTGAAAAATGATAAACATAGACAAATCCAAAAGCTTGCACCATTGGAAATTGTGTAGAAGGATTGCAAAGAATGTCATTGGAAATTGTGTAGAAGGATTGCAAAGAATGTCAGTACTCGTACCATTAGAAATTGTGTACACTCACTTCACTGACAAATCGGAGTAACATTGGATATTGTGTAGACATAAATTTTATTATCATTTGAAATTGTGTACACGCTAAAGAAAAATCATAGTAACATTGCAAATTGTTTACGTTTACCCAGTTCCGAGCTAGCAGCCGTTGCGAGTGTACACTTGCACGACTGCGACCCACCCGGACATATTGAGCAATCTTATTGCGATTTTCATTGCGATAGATTGGTTGTTTGCCATCTACGATGGCGAAAATTGAGAAGCTGCCTAACCAGCTGAAGGAGAAGAAGGATGCTTTCGCTATGCTGGCAGAGCAGATGAGGATCCTGCAAGAAGCCTTCTTGCAGGCACAACCGGAGATTGAGGACATCAACGGGAAGCTCCGCAGGGCCAAGAAGAAGGCCGCAAAGAAGACCGAAGAAGACGAGGACGGGGACCACCAGGCTACGTCTGACAAGGAGATGGACGTGCAAGAAGAGGACACCCAACAGACTGAAGAGGATAGGACCAGGACAGCAAACAACGACGACACCGATTTCAGTGTCGCCACCAGACGGAGGAAACGAGTGCGAGTTTCCTCCTCCGAAGACGAGTCTCCAAGGCAGCCAAAGATGCCAGCTGCCACAAAGAAGAGTCCTAGAGCAGCCAGGACCATCGTGCCCCCCATGTCGGGAACAGGAGTTCCCCCCATCAGCATCGAGGGCACCGCTGACTGGTCATCCTTAAGCAGGATAATCAACAATAAGGGGATCCAATTCTCCATGGCAAGGACGGCGGGTAACAGTGTGAAGGTGTCCACAAACACACCAGCTGATTACAGTCAGCTAGTCGCACGGACTCTATGAAGCGGCCCTTCTTCACGTACCAGTTGAAGGAGGACAAGATGGACCAGAGGGTAGTACGAGGACTGCCCAGGGAGATGTCGACTGAGGACATCAAGGACCTCCAGGACCACAAAGAAGCCACTTCCGCTCTTCCTCGTCAAGACGAAGATGCCAGAAAAGCTTCTATAGATCCAGAGGCTGGCCATGCTCACGGTCAGCTTCGAGAGAAAGAAGAAATCTAACGAGCCCAGCCAATGCTACCGCTGTCAGAGGTACGGGCACACACAGCGGAACTGCCGTCTCGCAAAATGGTGCGTGAAGTGTGGAGAGGACCACAGCAGCACCAGCTGCAGTCTGCCAGCGCCGCCAACAGGGCAACGAAATGCCAACTGCTGCCTTTGTGGAGAAGACCACCCCGCCAACTACAAAGGATGTAGGTAAGGCCCCGAAGAAAGCTGCTGCCGCCCCCAAAGCAGCCTCCACCACAAATAGGACGTCTTACGCTGAAAAAGCGAAGAAACCAAAGTCCACTTCTGCCCCAGCAGCCGCCACTGGTACTGGAACTACTGCGCAGAAGCAACACGGCGATGGCAGACTGCTCGCTATGATGCAAGCCATCATGACCCGCCTGGATGCTCTGGAGGCCAAGATGGAAAATAAGCATTAGACCAGCCAAAACGTAGAACCTCTACGCATAATCTCCTGGCACATCAACGGATTCAGGGCACGGAAACCAGAAATCCAGGAGATAGTAGACCAGTACCAACCAGAGGTGATGGCGATCCAAGAAACCAAATTGGATGCCGCCCATAGACTGACGCTTCCGCGGTATGAGATGTACCGCTACGGCAGAAGAGGCAGAGGTGGAGGAGTCGCATTACTCGTCAAACGTACCCTGACGAGTCATGTCCTCGACGACGCCGCAGACATGAATGGGGACGGAATCACGGTCCAGGTCCATCACAACCACCGTCCCTACAGAATCACCTCCCTATATGTGCCACCAGGGGAGGCCCTAGACGAAGATGACATCGCTGACCTCCTGAGAGGCCCAGGAGCACGCATTGTCATCGGAGATCTGAACTGCAAGTCTCCGGCATGGAACAATAACGTCGAAGACAGGAATGCAAGGCAGCTCCAGGAACACGTCGATGCCCTGGCGGGGGTCATCGTCGGTCCGGAGCAACCAACCTACATTCCATTCGGCCTTGGGCGACCTGCGGTACTGGACATAGCCATCCTCTGCAACATCAGAGAAGAGTTCGAGATAGAGACCCTGGTGGAAGGATCGTCGGACCACAATCCGATTCTACTAACACTTGGCACAGGGTCTAGAACTCGAGATAGCTTGAGCACGAAACGGACGAACTGGAACCTGTACAAATCCAACGTCCAAAGGAACATCACTCAAATTCCAACCATCCGATCAGCGGAGGAACTGGACAACGCAGTAGAGGAGCTGGAGAATGCTGTCCTGCGAGCGCACGAGGACAGCACCCGCTCCGAGACTACGGCAGTTCCTAGACACCTAAATGGTCCAGCACCGCACCATATTAGGCACCTGATCAGGGAGAACAGAAGACTCAAGCGGGAACATCTCCAGCTGTTGACAGAGGAGTCGAGAGTTGCGCGAAACAGAGCATCGCTAGCTCTGAAGAACGCACTCGCGGAACTCCAAAACAGCAGATGGAATGCAGCCTGTGCAGAACTAGAGACCCAGGATGGTACGGCCTGGACTATGCAGCGAAAATTTCGTCGTCAGCGCACCACGATCCCCACTCTTCAGGGCCAACGCGGCTTGGCCTACTCCAGTGAAGAAAAAGCTGAAGCATTCGCCGATTCGCTAGAATCCGAATGCAGACTCAATTACCATGAAGACGAGGACGACAACCACGAGGAGGCCGTGGAAGTCGCAGCCGAAATCATCATCCCTCCAGCCCAGAGGAAATCCGTCTGATCATCCGCAGGTTATAATGCTCACCAAGCCAGGCAAGGACCGGAAGTTGCCCCAGAACTACCGGCCCATCAGCCTGGTTTCCTCGATGGGCAAAGTAGTCGAAAAGGTTATCGCCGTTCGACTAGAGGAGCAGGCAGAAGAACTGCAACTTCTCCCCCCAGAGCAATTCGGCTTCAGATCCTCCCACAACACGGAACTCCAAGCGCTACGACTGACAGAAAACATCACCAGCGGCTTCAATCTCTAGGAGGCAACCGGCCTTGTCCTGCTGGACGTGGAACGAGCCTTCGACCGAGTTTGGCACGATGGACTCATCGCCAAAATGGAAGCCGCCGGAATCGATGCGAACATGTGCCAACTGATCCAGAGCTATCGAACACAGAGATGGTCCACGGTGAAGATTGGTACATGTCATTCAACAAGACGACAGCTGGAAGCAGGCGTGCCCCAGGGGTCAGCCTTAGCCCCCCTGCTCTACAACATCTATACTCACGATGTGCCGAAGACAGCTGACACAATGCTGGCCCTATATGCAGACGACACTGCTATAGCCGCCAAGCATAGACGACCCGAGATCATCCGTAGGAGACTACAGGATGAACTGGACCACATTCAGGACTGGTGCGTGAAATGGAAAATCCGCATCAACGTCCAGAAGACGCAGGCAATCTTCATTCAACGAAGAAGGATTGCAAGACCTCTCGAAGCATCCATCTTCGACGAAGATATCCAGTGGAGCGACAAAGTCAAATATCTTGGGATCGTATTTGACAAGTCCCTCACCTGGAAAGCCCACATAGAAGCTGTCATCGCAAAGACCAGAGCAGCCATGGCTCAACTCTACCCATTACTGGGTAGACACAGCCGGATGCCGCTAG